ATCGTAGCTGGGTTACAGTTCATTTCTTGGTTTGACTTTCTGAACCTCCTTTTTTTTCTGTTGCCAGTATTGTCCTCATAAATATTGTGTCAGTTTGATTTGTAGAAAAGAGTACGTCAGTGGGGCTTCCTCTGACACCTTTGTGGAGGACAGCAGAGAGAAGTAGATTGTGTTCTGAATCTTTACTGTCGGAAGTAGCTGCCCAGTCACAGTTTAGCAAGTGCCACCTTGGTAGTAGGCATGGACATGAGAAATTTTAGAAATGTGTGAGGTCCTACATCTGTCAGTGGAGAAGGGCTTGCCTCAGAGGGTGGTTGGGTGAGTTGCAGAGTCTGCCATGACAGCTAGCCTGCTGGTCATCGTTCAGTACCTGAAGTCACTGGGGCCACTGGGCCCCTGCAGCTTAATGTCCTGGCTAGCACTATGTAGCCATCAGTCAGCTTTCCCACAGCAACTCTAGATGGATCTTTCTCAGCCATGTCTGCTGGTCTTCCAGCTCAGACTTCCTCAGTCTGTCAGCTCATTCAGATTGGTATTGTCTTCCCAGCTATTAGCCCACTGTTGTGTTGTTTCCTGCTTGAAACCCTCTTGACTCATCAGCTTGAAAACATTCTCCATATCTTTTCCCTACCAACCCTTTTGTCCCACTCCCCAGTACAAGTCTATGTACAAACTTATACCGTGTTTGAAGGTTTATTTATTAATTTGAAAGAGAAAGACAAATCCAGTTGCTAGGGTCATTTCCCCAAATGTCTACAACAGCTGGGGGCAGAGTCAGACTGAAGTCAGGAGCCAGACTTCATTTAAGTCTCCAGTGGGGGTAGCAGCAACCACCCAGGTACTCACGCCACCACCTGTGGCTTCCCAGGTACATTAGCAGGGTGCCGGATCAGAAGCAAGAGAGCCATGACCTAAACTGACAGATCGAGGCACCTTCCCCAGCAGCGGTTCCACATTCACCACAGTGCCTGCTCTAAACTTGCTCATGTCTGACTGGCAACGTCATCCCTTCAGGCTTAGTCTGCTTCCTTCTTAGATTTCCAATCTTGATTGTCCTTTCCGTGAACACAACAATGATTTTTCAAAGCAGATTCCTTTAACCTCTCAGTCCCTGCTGTGCCATTTATAAACTGGGGCTATTGATTCCTCAGGGTGGGATGAGGGTACAAGAAAAAGAAGCTGAGCAGTATGTATACAAGGTAAGCATTTTTCCCAGGCTACTTGCCTCCCCCTCCACACACACGCGCGCGCGCACACACACACACACGCACACACAATTTGCAGAGCGCTGGAGGAGGTGGAAGTGTGATGTGGGCCCTGCTGTCTAGCAGCCTGCAGTCACACACGGCAGTCCAAACTACGAGATTGTATGTGATAAACTGCCAAATGGTGTAAGCTCTGGGGAACCAGAGACATGGCCCCCTCATTAAGGATGCCACTGAATCCTGTTGTGACTCCTAGGTTCATGCCTCAGTCAGTTACATACATGGCCCTGGTCACTTTCTTGCTTCTCAGAACTTAATAGGTGGTGAGGAGGATCATCCAGGGTCACAGCCAGAGCTCAGATTTCGTTCAGACCCTAATGCTGGGTTCCCTGTAACCCACTCACCTGAACAGTTAGGCTGCAGGAACCTTTCAGGTGGGAATCAAGATCCAATCTTGCTCCTGTGCTGCCCAACGCGTGGTCTCCACCTGTAGCCCCACCCCCGCCTCTTCATCCTAGGCCGATGGCAGCAAGAAGCCAGGCGGTCAGAGAAAGACCCGGAGTAGACTTGTTAGAGGGGAGGAGCTTGGAGGGGCAGGTGGGTTCTGAACCTGTGGAGGGCGCTCCTGACAGTGAAGCCATCACCAGAGGGCGTTGCCACAGCGGGAGGAGGCGGGACCCCCAGACGTCCAAGGGCTGGGTACAGCCTCGCCCTCAGCCATCTCTATTGTGCTAGGGTGGGGGGCGCGGAAGCCGAGAGCAGTGCCCTTCTTTGGGCCCTGCACTGCCGATCCCGCCTTCCAAGCAAGCCCCCGCCCCCGCCCCGGCTCCTCCTCCACCCCTGCCCCGCCTCCGGCCGCGGCCCCTTTCTCCCGCAGCTGTTGCCGTGAGGCGGAGGAGTCCAGCATCGCCGTCTCTATGGCCCCAGATCGCAGCGCAAAGGTGAGAGGAGGCAGGGAGTGCGGGCGGTGGCGGAACCGGGGGTCGAGGCAGGGCCCGGGCCGGAGGCTAGGCAAGGCCTTCCCCACGTCTATTCCACCCTCCCAACTGAGCCAGGCCTTTTCTCCCTGCCAAGTCCCCCGGCCCCGCATATCGGCTCTAAAGGGGCGCGGGCCAGGCCTCGGACCGCGCTGGGCGCAGACCCCCCGCCGCGGAGTCGGTGGCCGGCGCGGGGCGGGACCGGCGTGGTGAAGAGCGTTGCCCGGGATCTGGGTCATGTCTCCCGGCGACAGCGGTATGGAAGGAGAGCCTGTCCTCGAGCTGCAGCAGTAGAAACTAAGGTTAGACCTGACGGAGGGAGACAGCCGTGGGCCGCCTGGGGTTGATGAAGGAAGGGGATGGTGGGGGAGACGCCCTCTCCAGCCAGAAACGGCTCTCCTGCTGGGCAAGGGGCCTGCATCAAGCAGGTGGACGTCTGGGATGAAGGTCGAGAGAGCGGGCCAATCTTCCATCGGTCCTGTTCGGGGGTCTCTCTGCCCCTGGTCCCTTCACCCCAAAATATGAGAGAGAAAAGGTGGTCAGAGTTCACTGGGCTGGCCCAGGGGAGAAATCCGAACTATGGAGCTCCGGGTGAAGACTGGGGTGTGAACTGGAGACCTTGAACCCGCTTTACCACTGGGGGAAAGGGATAGCATGCCTCACCCCGCCCATCTAGCTCCACCCTCCCTCCCAACAGGTTAAATAGGGGCCCAACCCGCCAGCCCAACTCCCACATCTAGAACTGCACAGGAGGGCTATGCTACCCGTTCCACTCCAACTTCCCTTTGCTGAAACTAAAGGCTACAACTGCCTGACTTGGTTATTCCCTCCCTCCATTACAGTATAGCCTGGATTCATGTGCCCATGCCATGTGAAAATTCTAGCTTGGAAGCCTCCCTACTCCTCTCCCTACCTCTTTTCCACCCCACCACCCTACACACACACACACACACACACACACACACACACTCCCTGGGAATCTGGCCTTAGAGTTGGCACTTCCTGAAAGGGAGGCAGGGCCCTGCTCTGCATCTCACCCCAGTGGCCACTTGCTCCAAGCCTGCAGCAAGAACAGACTGCTGTGTGCATGTGTGTTTTGGTTTTTACATGCACATAATTGTGTTGGGGACTCCATGGGCATGTGAGTCCTGAACCATTTGCTCAACAGGTTTGGGTGTGTGTCTTTGTACACACATGTGTATACTCAGGGCACTTCTGTTAAATAGATGTGTAGTCCTTCATATAAACATGCACGTATGACTTCATAGCCCTCTGTGTCAACCTTTGAGGCCATACGACCTGAGTATGTGTAGCTGTGTGTGGCCATGACCAAACCTGTTCACATGTGTGCACAAACCCACCTGTGTGTATGTGTGCAACTCCTAGGAACACATATGCTCACAGCTCTCTTTGTGAGCTCATGTGTGTGTGCACCTGTGCGCTTGCACGTCAACTTCCTCCATATCATGTGACTCATAAAGTAAACCTGAGTGCCATATGCTACACACTGAGTGGCACCTTGAATCAGGTGTGTGTTCCTTCTGCCCAGTGCCAAGGACTGGTCCCTCCTGGTGATAGGGCTTCTCTCTACTCCCCCCCACCCCTGCCTTCCATGCTAAGCAAATAGGAGGCCCCAAAAGTAAACAGGTGTGCCTCCCAGTGAGAGGTGGGGCATGGGCTGCTTGCCTGGATCCTCCTGCTGCCCTGGCCCCCTCGCCAGGAGCTGATGGCTTTGCTATGGCCCGGGAACCCTTGTCTCTCTGCTTACTCCTCTGCTCTGCCCCTCTGGCATCTGCCCACCACAGGGCTACGCTTCACCTCTGCTCTTAAATGACTTCTCCAAATCCCTCTCATCCCTCTGGCCAGCTCCTGATCCCTCCTCTCCCTTCAAGGCCAAAGTGTTAATGTTTAACTTGGAAGGGAGAGGAAACAGCTTGTGACACTGCCTATGGGTGTCTAATGAGATGGCACGGGTCAGGCCTCCTCGAGCCTTCAGGAGCCCCATCCAAAGGTCAAGAGGTCTGCCACCTGCCCCCTGCTAAGCCCCCATGGGTTAGCTTTCAAGAGGGTCTTGGTGTGGTAGTGGTCTCCCAAGATGTAGCCAGCAAGGCAGCTGAGAACTCAAGCTGTTGCTTATATCTCCGTGGGTTGACTTTGCCCACATGCTGCTTTACAGGCCTGACGTCTCCTGTGCAGACCCAGGTCCCCAGCTCTCTCCCCTCTCCCCCAGCAGGGTCTATGAGTACCTGCTAGCAGGTAGAGGCACAAGCGCAAGTCTTGCCAGAAGGTGCAGTACAGACTCGCATGGGCAGCGCAGAGATATGCAGAGGAATGCTGAGGAGGAGCCGTGTCTAATTAAGGAGAAATTCCAGAGGGAGTTCTCAGGCCAGAAAGAAGAAAAAACAAAGGGAAAACAGGACCAAGTTAACAGAGGTCCCTTACCACTTCTGCCGGGGCCTACCTGAAGGACACACCCCCACAGGCAGTGAGCAAGGACTCCCTGTAGACAGGAACAAGCTCAGAACCCCAGCTCACCCCAAAGCAGGACCCTTCCAACTGGCCCAGGGGATTCATGTTGCCTGGGTGTGGGAAGGAGGATGAGTTCCACCCCAGCCCCATGCGTCAGAGGAGAAAGCTGACCGGAAGGATGGAGTCCGGGTAGACAGGCGTGGAAGCCCTGGGGACACCAGCTTCTACCTGTGAGCTGCCCTTCCTGAAGTCTGGGCATTGCTGCCAGTCTTCCACCCACACACAGGTCCATTAGCTTTCCTTCCCCCCTGTATGTTTTTTGTTTGTTTGTTTGTTTGTTTCAGAAAAGTGACCTTAGAGAACACACAGGCTCTGCTGTGGGAGTCAGGACAATCCCATCTGGAACCTGCACACCTCTCCCCGGATGGAATCTGCATTTCCTGCAGACTGGCCTGTGACCTGTCCATCCCTCTGACCTCTTGGCCAAGATTCCATGGCCAGACCACCCTGTGACTCCATGTCCCCCCCATTCCAGGACCCCCCCTGGCCCCATGACTCTGTGACTTCCATGGCCTCATGACCCCTGACCTCCCATGTGACTACCCTGAACTGTGATCCCCGTGAAGTCTTCCCTTCACCTCCACCCTCCCCTGCTCCCAGGGACTTGGGTCCTGGCTCCCCTGTGGGGTTCTGTTGGTCTGGGCCTCCTCAAGAAGATGTTGGGCAGGCTCTGGCCCTTTCTTCTGAGCTTCCTCATACCACCTGCCATCTCTGGACCCTCAATGCGACGTTCATCCAGAGAACTGGATGCCACCCCTCGGATGACCATCCCCTATGAAGGTTAGACCCTCAGCCTTGATGGCAGTGGGAGTCAGAGCTGGGGGCAGAGAGGCAGTCCTGGAGCTGGGTTCTCTGTCCCACCCTCTGCAGAGCTCTCCGGGACCCGGCACTTCAAGGGCCAAGCCCAGAACTACTCCACACTGTTGCTGGAGGAGGCCACGGGGAGGCTGCTGGTGGGAGCCCGTGGCGCCCTGTTCTCACTCAGTGCCCAGGACATAGCAGATGGTGCTCACAAAGAGGTCAGCCTCTGGAATCTGGGCCACCATCAGGGTCTGCATCCTCAATCAGCTTCCCTCAAACCCTATCAGCCTTCCATGGGCAATGCTGGTTGGCACGGAACAGGCTTCCCTTGTACCTAAGGATCCTCCTGATGACCCCCACACTGTCCCTGTTCCCTGGGGTCTTGGCGCCTGGGCCTAGCTGTAACAGCTGGGGTCAATGCGTCAGCCCACTCCTTCTATCCTCTCTAGATCCACTGGGAAGCCTCCCCAGAGATGCAAAATAAATGCCATCAGAAAGGGAAAAACAATCAGGTATGTGGTCTACCCTGTTCTCTGCCCCTTTCTTCTTCTTCCTCACTTTTGGCTTCTGGGCTTGGTGAGGTCCCAGATGGGGTGGTACAGACCAGGTAACTACAGCAACCTTCAGTTCCTAGTTGAGGGTCCCCCTTTGACCCTTTAGAGGCTCTCAAACTTTAATGTACACTTGAGTTGTTTTTTGTATGCCCTAAAGGGAAGCCTGGAGGAGGGTGTGGAAGTGTGTCGTTCTTAGGAGTTCCCAGGGGAAGCCAATGCCACTGGTGCCTGGACTACACTGGGTGGCAAGGCTTTAGGAAAAAGTTTCCCAGAGAGAGTCCTGAGAAATGTTCATTTTCAAAGGAGGAATTGATAAGAATATTGATCTGGCCCAGGCACTAGATGGAAGGAAAACAGGGTGAGTCTGAAGGCAGAAAAAGCCATGGGGAGGTTGACAGCATCATATGGTTGAAAGGAAGCTGGTAGGAGGGACAGAGGCTGGATGCTACAGCAAGTGGAGGAGAGGACTCTGTGGATCCAAACTCTCAGTGGCAGGAGAGGGAATCATTAACAAGGCAGAGAAGTAAAGAAAGCAGTAGGTTGGGGCATTTGAGGGATAGAGAAGGCCCAGGCTAGAGTGAAGTGAGAGAGGTCAGAGAAAGGGGCAGGCAGAGCCCAAGTATGCAGCACCTGGGGACTCTACATGGCACTGACGCTTTGCATTTGTTGGCAGGGAGCAAGAGTCTGTTGACTGATACAATATGAAGGGAAACTGCAAACCATTCTAACAGCAGCTGACCTGTGAGACAGGGATGAATAGGAAATCCTTTGCTGACAACATACTCCCTTGTACTTTTTTTTTTTTAAAGATTTATTTTTATTATTTTTTCATTGGAAAGGCCAGATATACAGAGAGGAGAGACAGAGAGGAAGATCTTCCGTCCATTGATTCACTCCCCAAGTGAGCGCAACGGGCCGATACTATGCCGATCCAAAGCCAGGAGACTCTTCCAGGTCTCCCACGCGGGTGCAGGGTCCCAAAGCTTTGGGCCGTCCTCGACTGCTTTCCCAGGCCACAGGCAGGGAGCTGGAAAGGAAGCGGGGCTGCCGGGATTAGAACCGGCGCCCATATGGGATCCCGGGCGTGCTAGGCGAGGACTTAACCACTTGCGCCACCGCGCCGGGCCCTCCCTTGTACTTTTAAAGCTGTTTTACAGATTTATTTACTTGAAAAGCAGAGTAGCAGAAAAGGATTTTCCATCTGCTGGTTCATTCCCGAAATGCCTGTAATAGCCAAGGCTGGGCCAGGCTGAAACCGAGAGTCAGGAATAGCATCTAGATGTCCCACTCTGGCAGGAACTTAAGTCCTTTAGCCATTACCCACTGCTCTCATGCAGGAAGCTTGATAGGAAGCACAGGGTAACTGAGACTTGAACTAGATGGTCAAATATGGGAGCTTGGCATCCCAAGCAGTGGCTTGATTCATCATAATACCTGCCCCATAGGTTTTGAAATTTATACTGCAGGCATGGAATCTATCCACTGAGTAGTTTTTATCAAGAGCAGAGGGCTGTAAGGCTGTCAGGTGGCTGCTGCAGCTGAAGGAGGAGGCAGTGCAGAAGGTGAAATGGATCAAGGTACAAACCATTTAGGACAAATGAGTCATAGAGAGGGACTTGACTGTGGGGGCGAAGGAGAGAGAAGCCCAGGATGACTCCTGGCTTCTGGACTCAACAATAGGATGAACAGAGGGGTAAGGTGGGACACACTGGAAGAGCAGGTGTGGGAGGAGGTGAGTTTGAAAGGCCTGCAGCTGTCGGGTGGAGACAGAGCTGGGCCTGAGGAAGGATTTGGGAGGATCCCCCAGTAGGGAGGAGCAGGGGGCACTCTGGGGTAGGAGCAGGGGGCATTCTGGAGAAGGAGCTCAAAGGAAGGGAGGGAAGCATTTCAAGGTGATTCAGGAAGCCTCCGGAGCTCCTGGACTGGACATTTCAGGAGATGCAAGAGAGACTGATACAGTGGAGTAGGGTTCCCTGAGGAGTACAGGAGAAAAGTGGGCTGTGTCCCTGGGAGACCCTGGACAGTGAGTTTTGGGAAGTATTCTGTGTTGGGGGCAGTGAGAAGACCCGGGTGGGGGCAATAGCCATATTAAAAAAATAGACTAATGGAGGCCTCCCCTACCTTGTCCCACAGACAGAGTGCTTCAACCATGTGCGATTCCTCCAGCGGCTCAATGCCACCCACCTTTATGCATGCGGGACACATGCCTTCCAGCCTCTCTGTGCAGCCATTGTGAGTATGCTTTCCTGGTCCAGACTTGGGCTGCAGTCCCTGTGTGTGCTCAGGCCCACTGACGGACAGCTGGCCCCTCACCCCTCCCCAGGATGCTGAGGCCTTCACCTTGCCAGCCAGTTTTGAGGAGGGGAAGGAGAAGTGTCCTTATGACCCTGCCCGTGGCTTCACAGGCCTCATCATTGGTGAGCAAGCAGGCCCTCCTTTCAGCCCCGTGCCCCTGAGCTGCATCACAGTTCTTAGGACTTGCTGTCTGGGGTATCGTATGCTCTGCTGTGTATACCATGTGCCTGGCACGTCCCTGCTCTAGACGGAGGCCTCTACACCGCCACACGCTATGAATTCCGGAGCATTCCTGACATCCGCCGGAGTCGCCACCCACACTCACTCAGAACTGAGGAGGCACCCATGCACTGGCTCAATGGTTAGGAGGATGAAGAGGGGGGACTATTTCATTTTTACCCCTTTGGCCAGCCTACCACCCCATCCCCATGGCTCCCAGTGAGGGGCGGCGGAGCACAATCCCAGCCAGTCTCATGATGCTCTGACCTGTCCGACCTGCAGATGCTGAGTTTGTATTCTCTGTGCTGGTGCGGGAGAGCGAGGCCAGCGTTGTGGGTGATGATGACAAGGTTTACTACTTCTTCACGGAGCGGACCGCTGAGGAGGCCTCCAGCAGCAGCTTCACTCAGAGCCGCAGCAACCACCGTGTGGCCCGTGTAGCCCGAGTGTGCAAGGTGGAAGAGGCCACAGATGGGGTTAGGGAATGAGGGGAGACAGGCAGGACTTCTGCTCCTGGCTCCTGACCCCGTGCCTTTGCCTCCCCAGGGAGACCTGGGCGGAAAGAAGATCCTGCAGAAGAAGTGGACATCCTTCTTGAAGGCTCGCCTCATCTGCCACATCCCCCAGTATGAGACCCTGAGGGCCGTTTGCAGCCTGGACACTGATGCCTCCGCCCGCACGCACTTCTACGCAGCCTTCATACTCACCACGCAGTGGTCAGTGCCAGGCTAGTGGGGAGGCGAGGACTGGGACAGCACAGGCACTGTGAAATAGGTCAAAGCAGATGAGACAGGACAGGTGGGGCGGGGGGAGGGGCAAGACTGGGAGGCTGACCTAGGACCAGAGGTCACTGAGGGCCATAGACACCCCAGGTTTCACTTGGAGTAACCCAGCCCCCTCCATATGTGTCATTCCTAGGAAGACCCTGGAGGCTTCAGCCATCTGCCGCTATGACCTGGCCGAGGTGCAGGCTGTCTTTGCGGGTCCTTACATGGAGTACCAGGATGGGGCCCGGCGCTGGGGCCGCTACGAGGGTGGAGTACCTGAACCCCGGCCTGGCTCAGTGAGTGCCCAGGCTTGGGGCTAGTGCTAAAGCAGCAGAGGCCTGGGAGGGGCAGGAGGGGCAGGCAGGAGGCAGGGCCCCTAGGGCTCACCTGCCCTTCCCCACCACACCCTTGCCCCAGTGTATCACAGATTCACTACGAAGCAAAGGCTACAACTCATCCCAAGACCTGCCATCTCTGGTCCTGGACTTCGTGAAGTTGCACCCCCTGATGGCTCGGCCTGTGGTACCCACGCGCGGCCGGCCCCTGCTGCTCAAACGCAATGTGCGCTACACACACCTCACAGCAATAGCCGTGACGACACCTACTGGCCCCACCTATGACCTGCTCTTTCTGGGCACAGGTGCTTCTGACCCGCATCCTCATTGCTGTTGACCTTGATGAGTAATGAAAACCAGCAATTCCTGCTGTGATTCCCCCAATTCCTGCTGTGAATCCCTCAATTCCTGCTGCTGTGGGCTAAGTCCTTGTCTCTGAACCCATGACTCCTGGGCTGTCTCCTCAGGGCCTCTCCCGTGGGTGCAGGGAGCAGAGCCCCTCGTTAAGGTCTGACCCTCTGCCTTCTCCATGTCAGCTGATGGCTGGATCCATAAAGCTGTGGTCCTTGGTTCTGGAATGCACATTATTGAGGAGATCCAAGTATTCAGAGAGCCTCAGCCTGTGGAGAACCTGGTCATCTCTCCAATGCAGGTAGCTCTTGATTCTGGATCCTCAGTATGACCTGGGAAGCGGGAGGGAGTAAGGAGGCTGGGCAGAGGTTGGGAGAGGTAGCATTGCCAACTGCCTGTCCTCTCTGGCTCCCAGCACAGCCTCTATGTAGGGGCCGCTAGTGGAGTCATTCAGCTCCCGCTGTCCAGCTGTTCCCGCTACCGTACCTGCTATGACTGCATCCTGGCCCGGGATCCCTACTGCGGCTGGGACCCCAGCAACCATGCCTGCACAGCAGCCACCGTCACAGCCAACAGGTCTCAGGGCTGCAGGGATGGAGGAGGGAGGCCTGCCAGGCGAGGGGCTGAGTGGGGGCTAATTAATGCTGGCAAACTGGTGGACACTTGCTCTGAGGAGACTGAAGCCCAGTTCCCTTTAATCTTCCTTCTCCAGGACAGCACTGATACAGGATATTGAGAGAGGAAATCGAGGCTGTGAGGGCAGCATGGAGACAGGTGAGGGACGTTATAGGGTGTGGCCTTCTCCTTACTGCGTAGTGTCCTCTGTGTATCGTGTTTGTGTCTGAGTAGTTGTGTCCGTGTGCTCCTGGCAAGGATGACCCAGTCCAGAGCCCAGCACCAGGTGCTTAGAGGACATTCATTGCCCAAAGGAAATACAGGTAAGTAACAGGGTCAAGAGGGGAAGTGTGTTACTTGTGGGTGTGTGTCTGTCCACACAAGCCGGGAGCACTGCTCCCAACGATGAGCAGGCAGCCAGGTAACTGATTATAAATATTCACAACAACTCAGAGGTTGAGGCAGGTTCAGGGAGATCAGATGACCCAGATGACACCTGAAAGAAGAACAAAAGTTCATAACCCTCGCCGAGTAGATTACTGTGTGCTAGCAGGGACCTACACACTTGCACCATCTCCAGGATTCATGCAGCATGCCTATGAGAGAGAGGTCATCGTTATCCCCATGTGGCACAAGCTCTCAGAGGCAGGGCTGCATTAAATTACCAGCTGACTCTGCTATGGAGCCATAGAGGCAGAATTCAAACCTGACCCCAAGCAGGCTGACCCAAGTTTGCTGTACTGCCTCTGCACAAGTCAGCTAGGCAAGAGGAGGACAGTGGGGTCAGGGACACCATCCAGGCAAAAGGAATATCAGCCAAAGCATGCCTGGGCCTGAGCCACAGAACAGGCTGGTGAAGTGGAGAGGGCTGTGTGTTCACCAGACATTCAGTGAGAAGCAGGGGAAGATCTCTAAAGAGTTCTGGTCAGGGAGTGGCATGACCTGAGTTGTGGGTTTTTTCTCTTTAGTTTTTTTTTTTTTTTTTTTTGAGAGGTAGATAGAGACAGAAATCTTTTATTTATTTTTTTAAAGATTTATTTTTATTATTATTTTTTTTATTGGAAAGGCCAGATATACAGAGAGGAGAGACAGAGAGGAAGATCTTCCGTCCGATGATTCACTCCCCAAGTGAGTGCAACGGCCGATGCTATGCCGATCCGAAGCCAGGAGCCTCTTCCGGGTCTCCCACATGGGTGCAGGGTCCCAAAGCTTTGGGCCGTCCTCTACTGCTTTCCTGGGCCACAGGCAGGGAGCTGGAAGGGAAGTGGGGCCGCCGGGATAGAACCGGCGCCCATATGGGATCCCGGGCGTGCAAGGCGAGGACCTTAACCACTTGCGCCACTGCGCCGGGCCCTCTTTTATTTTTTTTTTAAGTTTTATTTATTTGTTTTAATTGTTATTAACATTGTATTATGTGATACAGTTTTATAGGCACTGGGATTCTCCCCACCCCTCCCCCAACCCTCCCCCCATAGTGGATTCCTCCACCTTGCTGCATAACCACAGTTCAAGTTCAATTGAGATTCCTTCATTACAAGCATATACCTAGCATAAAGTCCAGCATCTTATTGTCCAGATAAGTTCAGTGGCTTCTTGGGGAGACCTTCTCTGAGAAATCTTTTAAATACCTGCAATAGCCAGGGCTGGGCCACCAAAGCCAGGAGCTGCGATCCCAGGGTGAACATCCACAGAAAGCTCATGACCAGGCACTCTGAAATGGCAAGCAGACACTCAGGCAACAACTTTACCTGCCATGCCAAATACCCACACCCTGATTGGTGGTCTTAAAACATCATCCTCCCATCATGAGAAGAGTGGAATCCATACGGGCCAGTGTGGGCTGACCATGGTGGAAAGAGACATGGGAAGGTCTGAGACAGGTCTGACAGCAGACTTTTGGTGTGGGCTGGATAAAAGAGAAGGCCAGAGGAGACTTCCTAGCTTCTGACTGGAGCAATGGAGTAGCTGGTGGTGCCATGGGTGATGGCGGGGGGGGGGTGGGGGGGGGGGGGGGGCTATTCAAGGAAAGGACCTGATATGCCTGGCCTTCATAAGGTGGCCACAGAGCTCGCAAGGAGAGGCCCAGCACATGGCAGATATTCAAGTCTCGATAGAGGTCCATGTTGGAGGTAGACTGGAAGGCAGTGGCAGATGGCAGGAAGTGAAGGCAGTGGCAGCCCCAGGAGAGGCTGAGGGCACTGCCTGGCCTGGGAGGCTCCCCTGTGACTGCTGTGGGAGCATGAGTGCCTGGTCAGCTATCAGGATTCTAGATCCCGTGCTGGATGCCAAGGACTTAGTAGTTACCAGGCTGATCTGCTGTCTTCAATACCCTCTGACAGTGACCAGCTGCCCCCCTCCTCCCCAGGGTCACCACCACCTCTGAAGATCCGCTCTGTGCTCCGGGGTGATGATGTCCTCTTGCCGTGTGACCAGCCATCCAACCTGGCCCGAGCCTTGTGGCTGCTCAACGGGAGCAAGAGCCTGAGCGATGGGCAATTTGGCTACCGTGTCGGGGTGGATGGACTGCTGGTGACGGACATACAGCCACAGCACAGCGGCAAGTATGGCTGCTACGCCGAGGAAAATGGCCTGCGCACACTGCTGGCTTCCTACAGCCTCACCGTGCGGCCCGCCACCCCTTCCCCAGTGCCCCAAGTTCCTGCCACACCCAGGGCACAGCTAGCACCCGATGTCAGGCTGCTCTACGTGCTGGCCATCGCCACACTCGGTGGCCTCTGCCTTATCCTGGCCTTCTCCCTCCTCTATGTGGCCTGTCTGCGAGGAGGCAGAGGAGGGCGCCGGCGGAAGTACTCGCTGGGTCGGGCTGGCCGGGCAGGGGGCTCTGCTGTGCAGTTGCAGACAGTCTCAGGCCAGTGTCCAGGAGAGGAAGATGAGGGCGACGATGACGGGGAAGGAGCTGGGGGACTGGAGGGAGGCTGCCTCCAGATCATACCCGGAGAAGGAGCACCGGCACCCCCGCCCCCACCCCCGCCCCCGCCACCCGCGGAGCTGACCAATGGACTGGCAACCCTGCCCAGCCGGCTGCGAAGGATGAATGGCAACAACTACGTTCTCCTGAGGCAGAGCAACAACGGAGTGCCCGCCGGGCCCTGCTCCTTCGCAGAGGAGCTCAGCCGCATCCTGGAGAAGAGGAAGCACACACAGCTCATCGAGCAGCTCGACGAGAGCTCCGTCTGAGCCCAGGCCGCCACGAGGCTCCTCCCAGCCGGCCTGTCTGCCCTGGGCCGGGGCCGTTGTCTCCAAGACACCCCTTTTCCCCAGCCTACCCCTCGGCAACATGCCTCCCCACCCCAAGTTCCCAGGTCTCTGTAGGGCTGGCCCATCACGCCCAGTCAAAACCCCCTCGCAGTCTCCAAGCCCCCCACCTGTGAGCAGCCCAGGCCCACCGGTGCTCCTCCGAGGTAGGTGCTGCCCTGGGACCAGGTGCTCTAAACCCACACATTAGGGAGGAGAGGCCTCTTCCTCCCGTCCCATTCCTCTTTCTCCCAGGCAGGGCTCTGCAGGTCCAGACGGCCTCCCTGTCACCACCCCAAGCATGGCCCAGAGGCCAGACAAGACCTCAGCAGCCCCACCACCTGGGCCCTGAAGACTCACACACGCAAGAACGCCTATCAGCTGGGCTCCTGCGCCCCAGCCCCGCCCCATCTCCTCCTGGTGCATTTCAGCCCTTCTTCTGGACTTGGGCTACCTTCCCAATTCCCACGTCCCCAGGCTCTGCCTGCCGTCGTGACCTCCGTGACTCGAGCTTGGGCACAGGCCCAACTTAGGGGAGACTGCACCATCCCCCTTTCCTCGTCCTCTCCTGTGCCCTTCTTTGCCAGCCTACTCTTGGTCCCATTCCAGTGACAGAGCTCCAGGTAGGCCCCTTCCCTCACGTGCACCTTCTGAGCCGCCCCTCGTTGCCTCGGACCCACATTGGCCTGTCGGGTTTGGTCCGTGGACATTTGTGAGGGAGACCCTTCCCTGGGACGGGTGACAACACTGCACTCAATGAGCCAGCCTCCCCTTTGGGGGAGCAAGCATTTTTTCCCCCTGGCCCACAGCAGGCGGAGGAGAACTGAAGCCTCACCTGGCACATGGAGCCCGTTCTTGGAACTATGCAAAGGGCAGAGGCTGGGAGCTGGAATCCTCAGCCCCCATCCCCTGTCCTACCTCAACGGGGCACTTTCGGGGCTCAGGGGCCTCTGAAGTCTCCAGGCCTGTAAGTTACAGTCCAGTCCTGACAACTCCCCCAGCCCCCTTGGGTGAGGACGACTGTTATTTTTGTAGCTGAGAACGTGGAATTCCACGCATTTTTACTGCCCTTCACCCACTCTCCCACCTCCACCCCACAATGAATGTATTTATTGTGAGATTGGCTACAACACTTCTGTAGGAATGCCCCCACTCACTGCCTTGGTGGGCGGAACAGGCATGAGTCCGAATGGGGAGCCCTGGCTCAGCTCCTCCCCCAGTGGGTTAATAAACACCCTCTGACCCCGTGGTGTCCAGTGTCTGCTTGGTCGGGAGGGGTGATTCTGCATCCATGCACCCAGGGTGGGCTCTGGCTATGCCAGGCAGGCACGCAGGACCTCTTATCACTAAGCCACATTAGTTGTTGCTCATGGTGACTATGGGATGACAGCCAAGAAAATTACAATGCTTCAGAATTCATAGGGTTTGCAGGTTTTCACTTCCCACTTTTTCTCTTAATTCTCCCCCTAGACTTTATGCCTAGAATTATTTCTCAGCTCCTCAGGAATCTCAGAATCCCCCTCCCCTGACCCAAGGAATGCCCAAGGGGTTATGCATGTGTACAATGGGAACCTGGGCAATACTCCCTCTCAGAGGCGATGGAGAGAATTACCACATGACCTCAGACACCACTGCGTCTGCTCCTGGCTTTGGTCTTTTAATGTGAAAGATAGACACCAAGAGAAATCGAGAGCTCTTCCCATCTGCCGGTATGGCACATTTTCTCAAATGCTCCAACTAGGCTGGACAGCAGCCACAAATCTGGAACTCAATCCAGGTCTCCCACATGTATGACAAGGACCCAAGGACCTGGGCCACCCTCTGCTGCTTTCCTAGTGAAGTCGGGTAGCCAGGACTGGAACCCAAGTTCAGACAGGATGCCAGGGTCGCAGGCAGCTGCTCAACTGGCTGTGCTGCAACACCAGCCCTACACTTCCAGGTTTGAATAAAACACGAGGCTTAAAATATGCATGTTTTGATATCAGACCTCAAGTGTGATCTGGGGTATGTTTATGAACCGCACTAAAATCTTCACAAAGGGTCAGAGTCTGTACAAAGTGCCCAGCCCAAATAGCTGCCAAGGAGATGGCAGACAACATCCTGGGTCCACGGATGGAGCAACTCGGCACCACAGTGTCTTCAGGTGCCAGCCTGAAGCCCCTGACAGTGGCTGGAGAGCAGCACCAGCATCAATTCAGATTTCAGAAAACAAGGATCCTTTGAAAAACCCTTGAAGTTCTTCAAGTCTCCTATTTCAGCAGGCCAATCAGGGACTCCAAGTGCAACGAGAGCGGTGCACGCCTGCGGCCATGCTCACTGTGCGGGGTTCTGGGCCTCTCGTGGCCGCCGCACCTCCAGCAAGGTGGGCTTGTTGGTGAAGGGGTGCCACTGGCCCTGGATGCTGGGGCTGTCCGTGTGGAAGGGCTTGCGGATGCGGATCACGTCCAAGCCCGACTGGTCGGCAAGCTTCTGCACCAGCGTCGCAATCTCCTCCGCGGACTTGCAGTGAATGCTCTCCTCGCGCACGGCTCCGTTCACTGGCAGGAGGGAGCGGGGCAGTGAGGGCCAGCAGGCGGGCCTCGTATCGGGGACACGAGGGAAGCTGGCGATTGGACCGCCCTCCCACCCAACCCCGGCCCGGCCCCCCACTCACGGTATTCTGCCACCACTCTCGGGACGTTACAGGGCCGCGGGTTCACATAGATTACGACCCCTGGGTTCCGTCGGGCGAAGTCCGTCACCTCCCGTTCCACGAACTCCCTAAAGGGAACCCGCACAAGGTGAGCCTGGGGACCCCCCGAGCCCTCTCCCCGCCGCTCTCCTCTCGCGCGCTGCACCTTGCACCGCGGGACGAGGGCGAGTCGCGGCTGAGCGTGAAGCTGAGCCGCTGCAGCTGCTGCACGTAGCGGCCGAGGCCGTTGTGGAGGACGCTGGTCAGGAAGCGGCTAGCCGTACCGCGACCCGTCATGGCTACAGTTCGTAGGTCACGGAGCCGAGGGGAGCCGGCGAGGACTAGGTAGGACGGGGCGGGATTACGCGCGGAAGCTTCCGGTTCCGGTGGCTTAGGACCTCCGCGCTCGGTGAGTTTTGGTTCCGGGGTCAAAGCATGCTGGGGACCCACGTTGCGTAAGGAAGGCGTGAGGGGAGAGCGGTACCGCTAGCCCGGGCAAGCAGAACTCTGCAGCCCCGCAGCGAAGGCAAAGACACGTGGCGGGCTGAGGTGGGGGCGTCCCTCCGCGCCTGGCGATCGGCCGTTTGGAGTGTGCCCGCTGTGTGGAGGGACGGCGAGCATGAGGCAGGCGGCCGGAGTGAGAAGGGCCAGGAGGATGTGTGGAGGGGTCGTGGATGGGAGAAGATGACGAAGGAACCGTGGCTGTGAGGGCTGGGGTAGAGGGTCCCAGAGCTGAGGTAGTGCGAGGAGAAGCGGTGAAGGCACCCCGGTGGTCTGGGAGCCGCCGTAGGAGGACTGAAAAGTCTGAGGGGGCAGGGAGGCACGCAGGAGGTACTGGGGTGGTGGACAAGGGAGAAGCGTCCACAAAGCGAGCAAGCCGTAGTCTCTGGGCTGGGAAAGGTACCCAAACTAGGGACCCAGGAATTTTCCTGCTCCGTCAGCAATGTGGGGCCGCCTCCGAGGGGCATACTCCCTCCGTGTCCTGCTGCCCCTGCGTGGGGAGTGGATGGCTCGGAGGGGCCTGCCACGAAGCTTGGGCCCCGGCCCTCCTCGGCGGCGGTACCGGAAGGAGGCTCTCCCAGCCACCGAGGTACCAGTGTTGCCCATAACCACGACCGAGATCCGCCAGTATTTGCGGACACGCGGGATCCCCTTCCAGGATGGCCACAGCTGCCTGCGGGCACCAAGCCCCTTTGTGGGGTCCTCGCAGGCCGTGGATCAGCCGGGCGCAACCCCTTCCTTCAGCCTCTTCATCGACAAGACCACGGGTCGATTCCTGTGCACCGCCAGCCTGGCAGAGGGCAGCTGGGAAGACTTCCAGGCCAGCGTGGAGGGTCGAGGGGATGGGGCCAGAGAGGGGACCCTGTTGAGTGAGCCCCTGGAGGCTGAGGACAGCGAGGAGGTCCGCAGGATCTGGGACCGGGCGGTCCCCCTCTGGGAGCTGCCAGACCAGGAGGAGGCCCAGCTGACTCGGGTGATGTTCAGCCTTAACAAGGTGACAGATGACACGTTGAGGCGCTTCAGTGTGCGCTACCTGCGGTCAGCCCACAGCCTAGTCTTTCCTTGGTTCTCCCCAGGGGGCTCGGGGTTACGGGGCCTGAAGCTGCTGAGGGCCGAAGGCCAGGGGGATGCGGTGAATTACGTGGAGACCACCATTCCCCGGCCCGGGGCCTACCATAACCTGTTCGGGTTACCACTGATTACTCGCCGTGATGTGGAAGTGGTCCTGACCAGTCGGGAGCTGGACAGCCTGGCCTTGTACCAGTCCACAGGTCTGCCCACCCTGACCCTCCCCCGAGGCACATCCTGCCTACCACCTGCCCTGCTCCCTTACCTCGAACAATTCCGGCGCATCTTCTTCTGGCTGGGGGATGACCTGCGCTCCTGGGAAGCCGCCAAGCTGTTTTCCCGAAAGCTTAACTCCAAGCGCTGCTCGTTAGTGCGGCCAGGGGAGCAGCAGCCCCGACCCCTGGAAGCCCTGAACCGAGGCTTGAATCTTTCTCGAATTCTGCGTACTGCCCTGCCAGCCTGGCACAAGTCCATCGTGTCCTTCCGGCAGCTGCGGGAGGAGGTGCTGGGAGAACTCTCCAATGTGGAGCAGGTGGCTGGCGTCTGCTGGAGCCGCTTTCCAGATCTCAACCGCCTGCTCAAAGGGCATCGGAAGGGCGAGTTGACTGTCTTCACAGGTAATGCCGCCACCCAGGGAGGGAAGGAATGATGGCTCAGGGTGCTGGTGAAAAGGAGACATCTCTGAGCATCTGTCCGGGGCCACGTTTCAAGTGTGGGATCCTCCCCTCCTGACACGGGCTCTGTCCTTGGCACAGGGCCAACTGGCAGCGGGAAGACAACATTCATCAGTGAGTACGCCCTGGACCTGTGTACACAAGGCGTGAACACGCTGTGGGGCAGCTTCGAGATCAGTAACGTAAGGCTGGCCCGGGTCATGCTCACGCAGTTTGCTGTGGGGCGGCTGGAGGAGCAGCTGGACAAGTATGATGAGTGGGCTGACCGCTTCGAAGACCTGCCCCTCTACTTCATGACTTTCCACGGGCAGCAGAGCATCAAGTGAGGCCCTCCACTTGCTTCTCTAGCTCCCCTGTGAACTTCTGGGCCTCCTTAGCCAGGCATTGGGGTTTTTCAGAGAATGGGAGAGCGGGTAGTGAGGTAGGCAGCCTTCTGCGGGTGGTACTGTGCCTCTGGTGGACTTAATTTTTCACCTGTTCCTCCTCCCAGGTCTGTGATTGACACAATGCAACACGCGGTCTACGTGTATGATGTATGTCACGTGGTCATCGACAACCTGCAGTTTATGATGGGTCACGAACAGCTGTCCACAGACAGGTGACAGCCTCTTCTCTCTGAGTCTGATCTCCTTTAAGTCATGTCTGTGTCTGCTCAGGCAGCTGGCCTCTGAGCACACTCTCCCACTTCCTGCGATGTATGCAGGGTGCAGCACTGTATGACACAGAGGTATGGGTGTGGCAGCAGGAGGTATAGAGGGGATCCTGAGTGGAGGTCCACAGGGAGGTGGAATGGGCTTGCAGTGGTCTGTGGGGAGACGTGAACGAATCCATGTGTCAATTCTCTGTGGTGTCGGGGTGGGGGTAGGATTGCAGCTCAGGACTACATCGTCGGGGCCTTTCGGAAGTTCGCCACAGACAACAGCTGCCATGTGACCCTGGTCATTCACCCCCGGAAGGAGGACGATGACAAGGAACTACAGACAGCCTCCATTTTTGGCTCAGCCAAAGTGAGTGGCCTTTAGGGGAACCAGGGCTTCAGAGAGCTAGGGGCAGGTGTGAGGGCAAGGTGGCAAGTCGCCTTGACTGGAGGGATGTGTGTGCGACAGAGGGGCTGCTGATGGTCAGGGCTGTGGGGCAGAAACACCAAGACAGCGATTACTGCTCAGAAGATGAAGAGCAGGGACAGACAGCACAGGCATTCGGAGGGGGGGAAGAGATGACATCTGAATTAGCCTAGAACATCTGCGGACTCTTCCGGGGAGTCATGCATGAAGATGGCGATGAGATCAGGCAGGGTTTCAGTGAGACAGGAGGGCGGGAGGATCTTCTGGCTGCAGGACCAACCTGATCCTGGAGTGTCCACTGGTTCACTGAGTGGCCCTGAGGTGCCAGGCCTGCACTGGGCCTGGAGCATTCAGGGCAAAGAGCACACACTGAGTACTCTGAGGAGACAGAACTGAAGCTGGGAAAGAAGCATTAAGGTGTCTAAAACAGCTATATTTTCCTTAAGAGACTCACGAGTGGCCTGTAAGCGTGTGGTCAGGGAACCGAAAGACGTGGGGACCCTGGCCTGGCAGCCATGGCGATGCAGGGATCCCTTTCCCCCAGTGTTCCCCTCCTCTCTGCACACTGAAGCTTTCTGACCGCTCTGTTCCTGTGTCTTCTCATTCCCGCTTCTCCCTCCTGCCCCTGTCCTGCAGGCCAGCCAGGAGGCAGACAATGTTCTGATCCTGCAAGACAGGAAGCTGGTGACCGGGCCAGGGAAACGGTATCTACAGGTGTCCAAGAACCGCTTCGACGGAGACGTGGGTGTTTTCCCACTTGAGTTCAATAAGAGTTCCTTGACTTTTTCCGTCCCCCCGAAGAGCAAGGCCCGGCTCAAGAAAATCAAGGATGACAATGGCCTCGTAGCCAAAAAGTCCTCTTCTGGCAAAAAGGGGGCTGGGACCCAGAGCTCTGAGACTTGAGTCTCAGCCCCCTGGTCCCTACCAGCCAGAGTCCTCCAAGCCCTCGAGGTGAAGGTGGTGTCCTGGTGGCCAGATGGACGGCCTGGGGCGCAGGCTCAGTCTCAGGCCTCTGCCCTGCTGTCCTGAGCTCTGGACCCTCCTCCATTTGGCAGGGTTCTGTAGTGAGAAAATGCAGCTGAGTGGATATTTGAGACCTCCCATGTGCCGGGCTTTGTTTGCAGTCTCGTTTATGCGTCACTGAGAAGATAGATATGGCCTCTGCTCCTGGTGGGGAGACCAGACACGCAGTGAATAAACAGAAAGCAATTCCAAACAGAGAAAAACGCCGGGAAGAAAATGCTAACGCAACAGTGTGCCGGTGGCCTAGTTTAGATTAAGTGATCTGAGCAGGGGCATCTAGCCTGGGGCCTGCAGAACCAGAAAGTGAGTCACATGTGCACGTGGAGAAAGAGATCCAAACAAGGAAGGTCATGGCAGAGCCCTCCAGTGGCGATGACCAAGTCGAGTGGAAGGCAGTGAGGTCAGGCACCTGGAACCTAGATAGGAATGCGGGAGTTCCTGCCCCTTTTGCCCAGGCTTTTGGAGCCATAGGATGGCATGGTGGGTGCCAAGACACTCTGCCTCCTGCCGTGTAGATCCTGGCATGAGGCGGAGAACTCAGTAGAATTCGGTCCTAGGTTGCTCAGGGCCTCAGGTGGCAGCTACCTCCCAGAGACTGCATGGTCACCGAACCTTAGGAGGAAGCTGTGAGCCCGCAAAACCTGCCCCTCATTACTGATTCCTTTGTCTGCTGTACCATGCAGCTAGCATTAGAACTTTTTGTAGTATCTTTTACAATTTTACTGGAAAAAAAAAAAATTGTCATCAATGCCTTTTTTCTGTGCTTTTTCTTTTTTGTCCACCAGGTGTCTCCCTAGTCTGTAAGGGCTGCCTCTCTGGGTGGCTGGGCCTCTCCCACTTGCAGCCTCTGAGCTCCCCCATTCTGCCTCACACCTCCTCTCCTAGGGAGTGCAGAATGGAGTGGTGTGTGTGTGTTCCTACTTCCCTGAAGATCTGCATGTGATTCCTCAAAGAGGTGTGGGTCCCTGGGCTGTGTGTCCAACCTCTGCCCGACCCGCAGCAGTCCATGTGATATGAGCCACTCACCATGGAAAGTCAGACTGACTCTATCCCCAATCTACTTTACTCCCCCATGTGTCTCCTATGTTAACACAAAGGTACTTGAAACAATTTGCAGAAAGAAGGAGTTAAAAGGGAAGTTTATTTGGGTGTAAAATAATTAAATCCATGCCTAGTTTTTCCTAATATGCATTGCCCATGAACTTTTTTTTTTTTTAAGATTTATTTTTATTGGAAGGCCAGATACACAGAGAGGAGAGACAAATAGGAAGATCTTCTGTCCGCTGGTTTGTTCGTAAGTGGCCGCAACAGCGAGTGCAGAGCTGATCTGGAGCCAGGAGCTTCTTCTGGGTTGGCCACACAGGTGCAGGGTCCCAAGGCTTTGGGCTGTCCTGGTCTGCTTTCTCAGACCACAAGCAGGGAGCTGGATGAGAAGCAGGACCGCTGGGACATGTGCCAGGCCCATTTCCCATGTACTTTTTAAAAAGACCACTTTATGCATGTGTTTCAAAATATTTTTACATCAAAATAAACATTTTAATTCCATTTCCTATAGGCTTTTTGAAATACCCTTATATGTACTAGAATGCCTGGAAATTGTTTTTTAAAAATGTAAGATGGGCCCAGCACAGTAGCCTAGTGGCTAAAGTCCTCGCCTTGTACATGCCGGGATCCCATATGGGTGCCAGTTCTAATTCCAGCAGCCCTGCTTCCCATCCAGCTCCCTGCTCGTGGCCTGGGAATGCAGTCAAGGATGGCCTGAGCAAAGGAGACCCGGAAGAAACTCTAGGCTCCTGGCTTCAGATTGGCACAGCTCTGGCTGTTGAGGCTGCTTGGGGAATAAATCAACCGACGGAAGATCTTTCTGTCTCTCCTCTGTATATACAACTTCTCAATAAAATTAATCTTTTTTAAAATATATAAGGGCAGGTGTTATGGGGCATCGGGTTAAGCTGCTGTTTGGGAACCTGCCCCCTGTATCTTGCCACCTCTGCTTCCAATCCATATCCCTGATAATGCATCTGGGAAGCAGCAAGTGAGTCCCACCAGCCGTGTGGAGGACCCAGATGGCTCTTAGCTTTGACCTTGCCCCTGCTGCTAGAGTGGCCATTGGGGAGTAAACCCATGGATGGGGAAGCGCTCTCTGCCTTTGTCATTCTTTCAAATGAGTAATTTTTAAAATTAAAATACAGAACCTAGACCCTATTCTCACCTTCCCAGCCTACAGCAAACCCCCAAACGCACACATACATTTTTAATTCTAGGGGAACAGGAATCATGTTCTCCTCTCCCTCTGATGAAGGTCTCAGGTGCTTTGGATTGGAGTAGTGAAAAGGCAGAGATGTTCGGAAGGAGCTGGGAGACCCTTTTGGCAACGTGGGGGTGGGCTTCCTGCTCCTTGAAGCAGGCTGCCTTGTCAAGGTCTTCCTGGTCTGCTGGGGCTTGGTGTGTGAGAGGTGAACCCTGGAGCTAGCCTGCTGCAGAGCTGTTCTCTGTGGGGGTGGGGAGCTCTTCCAGGGCCTGCCTTCTTGGGGGTCTCTCCCAGACTGGCTGGAGCCGGGCCTGCCTAATCCTCAGTAATCATTCCCAGACGCCCAGCTGCTCTAGGCCTCGTCTAGGGTCTACAGCATTGAACCCGAGCCATACCTTCCAGATGCACGATTCCAGATCAGACCCACGGGCGGGAGTGGGGTGGGGGGTGCCAGTTCCACAGTTTGTTCTCAGGAAGGCCTTCAGGAACTCCTAGAAGGGGACCTGGGGGAGACAGCACACCGAGATAGATGCGTGCTTTCCTGTCTTGCCCCACTCTCCTAGCAGGCACTTCCACACAGCACGAACCAGAATGACCAGGGGGAGGGGAAGCTAACACCCCCAACTCTTTACATAGACACCTTCCACTCCACACAGGAATCCCTGGGGCCTCAAAAGCTGGGGGGAGGGTTCTGGGGGCAGTCCTTGAGGGCCAGTGTCCATGTTTTCAGTAGAAGTGGGCTGGAAGGGGTGACCTTGGACAAAACCAGCATCAAAGTGGCTGCTAAGCTTCTTGGTTCAGAAAGCACCTGGCCAAGACCCCTTGTGTCCCATATGTCCATAAGGGTCCCCCAGCAGCTTCCTCCCTGCTGTTGACAGGTCTGAGGAAAGACTAAACTGGCTGGAGTCATCTGCAGCCCAGGTAAACCTGCAAATATTGCCCAGATCCCTGCAGACCCCAGCCTGCTGCGGCTGCCTACAGCACTTCTTGGAGGCAGGGAGGCAACCCTTAGTGCCTGCTGCCATGCGGGCCGACTTCCTGTTTGTGCCTGTGGGTGGGACTTTATGAGCCTAAGGGGACGCCTAGCCATGGCCTGTGGGGGCCAGCACGGGCAGCCGGCTCACCTAGCCAAACACCTGCTCCAGGGAAGAGCGCCCACGTGGTTCAGCTCCTGCAGCTCAGAACTGAGGTGGGTTTGTGCGTGGGTGGCTGGGTGGGGTGCTTGCGTGAAGCCCTCGGCCTTCCCAGGGGTTTTCCCTTTGTGTGGGGCATGGCCTGAGGAGTGTTGCGTTCCTGTGGAGCAGAGGAGGGCGGCAGATCAAGCGCTATAGCCAGTTCAGGTACCCAGGTAATTGGCTCTGGTCACACCCTGGCGGCCCATTTCCCAGGGTCGAAAGCCAACCGCAGCCGGCCGTACAACCAGGGGCCACCGTCCAAGTACTGCCGGGCCGGGTACTGGGTCGGCTGTTGAGGGGTGCTGGGTAGACCACTCCCCTCCTTGGGTGGGGGGCGCGGCCTCAGCCGCCCCGCCCCGCTCCCCCGGGTCCGGCCAGGCAGCCTGCCGGCGTCCGGCGTCTGGAACCCGGAGCCCGGAGCTGGAGCGAGCTGGGGAGGTGGCGAGGAGGTGGGCGCGCTGGAGCAGGAGACGGGCCGGAGCTGGAGCGGCGGCGCAGGTGGCGCTGGGTGAGTGGTGGCGCGGAAGAGGTGCAGGAACTCCCGCCTTCCGCACCTCGCCGCTCCGGAGCGAACTTTCCGCCGCAGCCGGGAAAGCTGGAGGTTGGGCTGAGAGGAGGGGGTCCTCACTCTGTGGGACGCAGGCGACGAATGCAAACAGGAAAGCAACAGCGAAACTCATATGCAGGGCTCCCCCACGCCGGCACTTTGGGACACACGAACACACGTGCACTAGGACGGGACGCGCCCGTGGGTTATGCTAGCAGCTCGGGAGCAGCGCCACCGGCCGGCACGGACCCCCGGCAGGCAGGGCGCCCCCTGTGGAGGCGGGAGGGGGGTAGGGAAAAGGGGCTGTCCTTTGACCGCCGACGGGGGCGGGCCGGGTGGGACGCAGGTGAAAGCCAAGACGTAAACAGGCACGTAGCACGTGATTGCCCCGCTGACGAGTGGTCTGTGACACCCCCCCAACCTGCGCCAACGCTGCCCCGGGGAAGCCCTCCCCCAGCCTTGGTCGAGTTTGCATGGACCCATGCTTGGCTGGCTTGCTTTCTCCCACCAGAGCTGTGATAACACACCCAGAAAGGGGAGCACACCGCCCCCTGGAGCGGGAATGGGGGCGGGAGGTCGGTGAGCTGGAGAACTGGAGCCGTGGGCTAGGGCGCTAGGGTTCCATGAATTCCTCGCCCGCTTCTCTCCCTAACATCCTTGGTATCCAGAAGTATTGGAGAACACTTTGGTGGCCCCGGAACAGTACCCCCATAGCGGGGACCCCAGCTCTGGGAGCACCGGTGTCCATTAGTCCCTTTCATAACGATCCCAAAGCTCATCCAGTCCAGAGGGGTAGTCCCTCCCCACCACTGTGTCAGTGACCCCTTAGAACCAAAGTGGGCCTGCCTCTTCCCCTCTGGGAAGCAGGGGAGCAGGGGGTCGGCTGCAATCCCAGCCCTCCCTCCTTGCCCCACCCCCAGCCCTCCTAGCATGCTGAGCCCAGCTGCTGCCTGAGCTACGGGGCCCGCTGCCAGAAAGGGAAAGGCACAACTAGCGGAGGGGTCACCACTGGAGAAGGGGCTCAAACTGTTCTGGGGAGGCAAAGAGTCTGGGGTGAGCCCGAGGTTGGCCAGGCTGTTTCCCTTTCCAGGGAAAAAGAAAGAAAAACAACCCGTTCCATCGAGCTAAAAATAGAGCGGGAGAGCCGGCCAAGGCTGCGGCCTGGAAGGGGGGGATGCTCCTTCCTGGGGCTGAGCCCAGCTCCGGCTGGCCTTGGCCCTGGCAGGAAGGAGGGGAGAAGGGGGGTGCCCTTGCCTAGCCCAGGGACATCAGCTGACCTGGCTAAGTCACAGAGACCCTTAAGGGAAGGTGTGTGAGCTGCAAGCCTTGGGAAATACTGTGTGTCTCTAAGAAGTTGTGGACCGCTTGGAAGCTGTCGACACGTAGGAGAGGAGGTGCCAGGGTCTCAAGTTGTGGTCCAAAACTGTGCATCCACCTGGGTGACACCCAGCAGGTGTGTGTGTGTGTGTGCGTGTGAAGATCCAGGTCGGCCTGGAGGATTAGGGAAAGCAGGATCTGAGAACCACGTGATGTATGAGACTGTGTGACGGTGGATGGCCAGACTGAATGTGGGAAAGGTCGTGTGGGTGTGAAGATTGTTGTTTCCAAGAGGGTGAGGATTTGCCCATGACCCCAGAAGACACTGGAATGTGGTCTGATGGGAAGCTGATGTAGGCTTGTGCTTTACGGTTCTACTGGCTCGCCCCATTGGTGGTTGAGGGCAGAGGCCGCCCCTCAATGAGCTTTTTCTTAGCCGACGACTCTCCAAGGGAAGGTTGGGGAGCAGGAGCCGCACCAGGGCAGGCCTGGGCAGGCGGCCTGGAGTCGGGGACACTTCTAGGCTGGGGTTGGGGGGCAGTGGGTGTGCTCCCCGAACCGACCGCCAGGTGGCACCGCCATCTCCAAATCCTCGTGCGCCGCCTCCAGCCTGCTTGGAGGGGACGAGGGTAGGGAGGGTAGGCAGGGACCCCGCCCCGGCCCCCGACTTGCACAGGGGCGCAGAGCTCTGGCAGCCGAGGAGCGGGCGACAGCTGACCCCCGGCCTCCCTCTCTGGACTCTTGAGGCCGGAGAGTGTCCGGAGAAGGCTTCGATTTATGAAGCCGGGGGGGAGGGGCCACCGCGCCTTGCCTTGGCCCTTTGTGCTCGAACAATGACCAGCTGCCGCTGGCCCTGGGGCCCCGGCTCGGGTAGGGGGTGACCCAGACGACCGAGCCGTCCGACACTCAAGTCACCGTGCCTTGGCTAGACGAGTACCCGGCTCGCTCCCTCGCAGCCCCTGCGTGCGGCCCGGATCTAACGCGATTCGCGGGGTGCCTGCGCGCGTGTCCGCGCCCCGAGACGGGGGCGCCCCGAGGCGGGGACGCCCCTCGGACCCCACCCCCGCGTCGTACCGCACCGCCCACTCGGGCCAGGAAGAGGCCGGCCAGGGCCGGGGGGCGCCTGCGAGGCGGAGGCGGAGCCCGGCCGGGTCGGGCCGCTCCGAGTGGCCGCGCGCGGGCTGGAGCCGGGCGGAGCGCCTGTGGAGCGCCGGGGGCGGCCCGGGGCTGAGCATGGAGCAGCGCGGCGGAGGTGAGGGGAGGGCCGGGGCCTGGAGGAGACCTGGGGGCGCTTGCAACTTGTACGCGGTGGCGTGCGGAGCAGAGGCGTTTCCCCTCCACTGCCCTGCTGAGGAAAGGTGGTGGTGCGGGGGCAGTCGGGCGAAGGGGGAGGGGAGCGGATGGGGGGTGCGGGCTTCCAGCCTCCGGAATAGGAAGTCGGAATCCTAGGCTTGAGCTTGCGTGACTGTTGTTGGAGTTGAGCTGGGAGGGCGACTTTTCCCAACTCTTCAGTCTCCAAAACAGGCCTGTTAGTTCTGGGCCGGCGGCGGAGCCTTGACCTCAGCTCCCCGCCCAGCGAGCAACTGGGGGTGGCGGGGTAGGGGAGGGAGGAGCTGTGTCTGGGTGATCATCCCGGGGAGAGAGCGAGGAGGGGTTCCTTCTGCCCATAGCCACTACGCATTTCTCAAAATGGAGCCTGCACTTGCCCCTCCTTCTCAGTCTGGCTCCAAGAGCGGGAGCCTGGCCGGCTGGCTGGGCCCAACTGACTCCTAAGCCACCTTTGTGTCACTCTGGACCCAAGGTCCCTTGGCTCCTGGAGGCTGGGGAACATGGCAGGTTAGGTCAGCCAGCCCAACTCCTTCCTTGGCTGTCTGATCCCCTGGGCCTCTCCGAGCCTTTGTTCGGAGTTTGGATCTCTTCCCCCAGTGCGCGCCTAACGCCTGCCTTGATTTTCACTTCCTGAGGTGGGGAAATGGAGACAGCGGTGTTGGCTGGCATTACCCGCCTACAAAAAGCCCCTTCTCACTGTCCTCGGCGCCGGCCCTGCGTGGTGCTGCCGGACCTTTTGCTTTGCAGTGGGCTGGAGCTTGGGGAGTTGTCAGGCCCCTTCCCTGCAGAAGCCTAGGGTTGGTTGCTCCCTACACCCCTGCAGCTGCCAGCACCTCCTCCCACACTGGGAACCTGGTTCCTGGTGTCTTTTTCACTTGGGTAGAGAGGAAAGGGACAGACTTGCTGGAGTCTTGGCATTAAAAAAGCAAGAAAGCAGGCTGTACCAAACAGAGGTGCCTCCTACCACTCCCCGCCCTCCAGAGGGTGCCAGCCCTCAGAGGCTGCTGTGTGGGGAATCAGTCGGCCACCCCCTTCCCTCAGGCGCACACCCAGCTCACACACGCTTCACGTGTTTTTGAGTGAGCACGTCTCTCAAACATCACAACACAAACTCATCTGTTAGAAATGCACTTGCAACTTTTACATACTTTCTGGCAGTGACGTCATTGCATACTCAGGCATGTGAGGTGGACATAGTCTCACTCGTGAGGGTATTAAATATTTCCAAGGGCACACACATTTGCACACATACACACATATATGCAGAGGCACACTGCACTCACTCTGCTGCTCCTAGGCATGGAGTTCCACATTGCACACATTCCCACTCTGGTAAAATGCTCTGGCCACCTTCTGGCCGCCACTCGACATGATGACTTCAGCAGATGCCTGAGTACCCAGCAGCTTCGGCAGGACTGGGAGGGAGTTCCGGCTGGAAGCTCGCTCTTCCCTTCCAGGAAAGAGGGGGAGGGTAGGAAGGCGGAGCCCTCTTGCCTGGGATCAGGGAAGTGAGGGCTTGGAGAAGCTGCCAGAGATGATGGGGACCTGTGGTGTCTGCCTCCTTCAAGGCTCCTCTCAGGATGTACCAGGGTGGGCAGGCCCCAGGATCCTGACTGCTGTGGAGAGGCTGTGGTTGTCATAGAGACAAGCAAGGCCTCAGCCACCTCTGGGAGGCAGGAGACCCCTTGAGGGCACCTGTGTGTGGCCTGAGGGCTGCAGGCTTCTTGCTTGGTTGTCTCCTCCCTTGCCGCCTGTCTGTCTGGGAGAAACTGAGGCCAAGTAGGGAGAGCAGGGCCCTGCCTGGCTTTAGCTCTTTGTTCCCTAATTATTGTCTGAGTTACTGGTTGTGTCCCTAAGATTGCTTCTGCCCAGACTGCCCTGTAATGAGGCCAGCTGTCCCAGGGGACTGGGTACCAGTGCCGGGTGCTGGTGCAGAGGGCATCTCTTGTGACCTGAGCTCTGGCCTCCACTGCTGAGTTACCCTGCAACAGCCCACTGTCCCTCCGTCTCCTTACCACCTCCACTAGTTGGGCTCAGTCTTGGGACCTGGAGGGTATCAAGGTTGGTCTGGATTGGGGGAGCGGGCAGCAGAGGGTCTCAAGGACTTGTGTAGTCGGAGGGTCAGGGGGAACGGGAGTCTCTGATCCCACTGCCCTGTTGGCAGGTTGCTCTGGAGGCCCTTGGCCAGGCCTGAGCTCTTCTCGCCATGGCCATTGTACACACACTACCAGTGCCCCTGGAGGCTGCGCCTGAGGCCGCCACCGCCCCCCAAGCTCCAGCCATGGGCAGCGTGAGTAGCCTCATCTCTGGCCGGCCCTGTCCTGGAGGAGCTGCTCCACCCCGCCACCATGGCCCCCCAGGGCCCACCTTCTTCCGCCAGCAGGATGGGCTGCTCCGGGGCAGCTATGAGGCTCAGGAGCCACTGTGCCCAGCTGTGCCTCCCAGGAAGACCGTGCCAGCCACCACCTTCACCTACATCAATGAAGACTTCCGGACTGAGTCACCCCCCAGCCCAAGCAGTGACGGCGAGGATGCCCGAGACCAGCGGGCACGCAATGCCCATCTCCGTGGGCCCCCACCAAAGCTCATCCCCGTCTCTGGAAAGTTGGAGAAGGTGAGTTCGAATCCTGCCTTGGGAACCTGGGTGGGGTCCCGGAGCTGTCCCTACTCCCAGCACCTGGGAGCCTGGCAGAGCTGCGGATTTCTGCATCTCTCACGGCCAGGCAAGTGGGTCAGCCTCCCAGCGTTGTTAGGAGTAACTCAGGTAATGTCGAGTGCAGGGCAGCGCCTAGCAAGTGTGTGGCCAGTGTGTTGTCTGAAAGGCCATCACACTGCTGCCCGTGTGGCTCTGGGTGAGGCCTTTAGCCATGTGGGGTCTGTGGTTGCTCATGCGGCCTCGGAGGGTGGCAGTGAGGTTGGCAGTGGTGGTGAGGAAGGAACCTGCCAAGGCACTTGATATGAAGTGGACACTTGGAAGGCCTGTGCGGCAGGCACTGCTGTCAGGAATGCATGGGGGACATTGGGGAGCGGGATAAGGGCTTTGCAACATCATGCACCAGGGTCACTTGGTGCCTGTTTTCAGAACATGGAGAAAATCCTGATCCGCCCAACAGCCTTCAAGCCGGTGCTGCCCAAACCTCGAGGGGCGCCGTCCCTGCCCAGCTTCCTGGGGCCACGGGCTACTGGGCTGTCTGGGAGCCAAGGCAGCCTGACACAACTGTTTGGTGGCCCTGCTTCCTCCTCCTCCTCTTCCTCGTCCTCTTCGGCTGCCGACAAACCCCTGGCCCTGAGCGGCTGGGCCAGTGGCTGCCCATCGGGAACGCTGTCTGACTCTGGCCGAAACTCACTGTCCAGCCTGCCCACCTACAGCACCGGGGGTGCTGAGCCAGCCGCCAGCTCACCGGGTGGGCACCTGTCCTCCCATGGCCTTGCCCGCGGAGCACTGCCCGGGCCAGCCCGGGGGGCCCCTGCTGGGCCCTCTCACTCGGACAGCGGCCGGTCCTCCTCCAGCAAGAGCACAGGCTCTCTGGGAGGCCGTGTGGCCGGGGGGCTCTTGGGCAGCGGGGCCCGGGCCTCCCCTGACAGCAGCTCCTGTGGCGAACGCTCCCCTCCGCCCCTGCCGCCTCCACCCCCTTCGGAAGAGGCTCTGCTGCACTGTGTTCTGGAAGGAAAGCTCCGTGACCGGGGGGCAGAGCTGCAGCAGCTGCGGGACAGCCTGGATGAAGGAGACGTGACCGGGTGCCAGGTGTGGCCAGTAGCAGAATGGGGCCCAGGGGGTAGTGGGGCTGTGCATGGGCCTGGGAAGGGGCTGGGATTTAGACAGCTGCAATGAGGCTCCTTAAGCTTCCAGAACTTTGAGGTCTCTCTGAAATGGGGATTGCTCTGGTTTTGTGGAGGTAATTCAGTAAGGCGAGGAGTAGAAAGTGCCTGCCAACCTAAGAAGTGTGGCTTATTACTGTGCTGTTACTACAATGGTCATCTCTGTTGGCATGGAGGGTTCTGTCATGGTTGATGTCATCACTGCCGTGGTTTAGTGCTGCTCTGAGCAGTCAGCTGATGGGGAGCTGGGGGGGCCGTCACTCGTTACTTGGGGGACCCACCAAGACCCAGTTCTGCCTGCTCACCCACAGGTGCTGGAGGAGCGGCAGCGACCGCGACCCTGGGAGCGGGAGGCCCAGGCACAGCAAGCTGCACAGCGGGCACAGCGGGCACAGCAGCTGCTGCAGCTGCAGGTGTTCCAGCTGCAGCAGGAGAAGCGGCAGCTGCAGGATGACTTTGCGCAGCTGCTGCAGGAGCGGGAGCAGCTGGAGCGGCGCTGTGCCACCTTCGAACGGGAGCAGCGGGAGCTCGGGCCACGCCTCGAGGAGACCAAATGGGAGGTGGGTCCAGCAGCGGGGGCAGGGTGGGAGCGACAGGGACAGAGCCTCTCAGCCGGCCGCTTGCAGAGGGCCTGCCCGCCCTTGCTGTGAAGTGTGGGATCCCTCCCCAACACATACGCACATCATGTTCTTTTCTGGGTCGGTGGGTGGGGGTCTCCTGGCTGGTCTAGTGTCCATATAGCCAGCAGTCGTCCCATTCCACTGTCTGCCCTGTGCGGTCATTACTGTTGGCCTGTGCAACTTACAGACGAGGTAAATGAGACCCAGCAAGGTCAGGAATAACACTTGGCAGTAAGTTGGAGGACAGAGAGTCTGGCTCTGACGGCCTGTCCTCTTTCCCCAAGCCATGGGGGAGCCTCTCACCAGCAGTGCTGCTGGCGCCCAGTCCCAGGTTAGGTGGTACTGCCGTGGTGTCTCCCTGATGACTTCAATGCAGGAGACATGTCCAGGATACAGTCCTCTGCAACAGCTGCTTTTCTGCTGTCTGACCTTGGACACATCTGTGTAAAATGGGGTCATGACTGGAAATTCCCTCACAGTACCCAGTGTGTTGTCACTGCAAGAGAACCTTTCTCACTGCCTCTCCTGACCACCCCCACCCTAGGTATGCCAGAAGTCGGGTGAGATCTCTCTGCTGAAGCAGCAACTGAAGGAGTCTCAGGCAGAGCTGGTGCAGAAAGGCAGCGAGCTGGTAGCCCTGCGGGTGGCACTGCGAGAGGCCCGGGCTGCGCTGCGGGTCAGTGAGGGCCGGGCACGGGGCCTGCAGGAGGCGGCCCGGGCACGAGAGTTGGAGTTGGAGACGTGCTCCCAGGAGCTTCAGCGGCACCGCATGGAAGCCGAGCGGCTGCGGGAGAAGGCCGGGCAGCTAGACGCCGAGGCAGCTGGACTCCGGGAGCTCCCTGTGCCACCTGCTGCCACTGACCCTTTCCTGCTGGCAGAGAGCGATGAGGCCAAGGTGCAGCGGGCAGCAGCCGGCGTGGGGGGCAGCCTGCGGGCACAGGTTGAGCGGCTACGCGCAGAGCTACAGCGGGAACGACGGCGTGGAGAGGAACAGCGGGACAGCTTCGATGGGGAGCGACTGGCCTGGCAGGCTGAGAAAGAGCAGGTGATCCGCTACCAGAAGCAACTGCAGCACAACTATATCCAGATGTGCCGGCGCAATCGGCAGCTGGAGCAGGAGCTACAGCAGCTCAGCCTAGAGCTGGAGGCCCGGGAGCTGGCTGACCTGGGTTTGGCCGAGCCGGCCCCCTGCATCTGCCTGGAGGAGATCACAGCCACTGAGATCTAGGGCTCAGGGCATCCCGCTGTTGCAGGGGCCGTCACCACAGATCACTCAGGCTCCAGGGTCCACTGTGCCTCCCCACGACAGAGGACCCCAGAGCTGCCCTCTCCCTTCAGTCCCAGCCTCTGGGCCTCTGCCAAGCCCTCGCCTGGCTCTGGGACTTGGAGGAGCCAAGTCAGACCCCTCAAGGGTCCCTGTGTCCACTGTCACTTGGAGCTCCCATTCACTCTATCCCTGTCACTCCCTAACCACTGTCAGTGCCACTGCCAACACCTTCAACCCCAGATGCCCACCAGCCCACCCTAGCCAGAGGGCCTAGAGGGGAAGGAGTCCCTCATCTCCACTTTCTCCCACTCCCCCGAAGCCAGAGAGAGCCAGATGGTGCCAGCTGCTCCAGATGTGCCTGCCCCGACCCTACCCGGTGCTAGGGGACAGGGCTGGTACTGGGATCCGACCCCCAGGTTCCAGCCCTTTTGCCCCCTACTCGGGGAAGGGGGCTGAAGTCAGACCAAAGGAAGAACCCAGAAATGTCTTGTTTATTTGTGTTTGTGACCAAGCAGTCCCTTGCCCACACCCAGGTTTATGGCCTCATTTTCACATGTATATTTTTCACACTGTAAATTTCTTGTACAAACCCAAAGAAAAAAATTAAAAACTTTTTTTTGTTTTGTTTTTTTAAAAAGAACGAACTGGATACATATGTACTTGCTGGGGGGAGTTGTTTGATCCTCTATCCTGGCAGCTCTATCCTAGTTCCTCCCCTACCCCACAAGCACACTTAAGGGCAGGAAGGATGAAGAGGAGGGACAAACCTAGCGGAAAGTCCAGGGGGTCTTGGTGGCCCACCACCTGAAATGATCTCTTGGGGTCTGAGGAATTAGAGCAGCAGCCTGTCCCTTGCACATGGCACTGCCTCAGCATGGGGCTCCCTGGAAGGCCCCCTGCAAACCCCTGTCCCTCAGTGCTGGGGAAATGGGGGAGCAGAAGGAGAAACTAATAGCACTCGGTTCTTTGATGCCCTCCCTATGTTGAGAGGTTTGGGAACAGTGCATGCAGGTGATGTGGGCTGCCCATTTGTGCTCTATCCAGGGAAAGGACAGAGCCTTACAGACAGCCAGGGTAGGGGGAGATGGTGGTAAAATCAAAGGCACCCATTGGTATGCAGCTCAAGCAGGCAGGTGGAGCAGGAGGGGAGGTTTCTGGGAGCTGCAGAGAATCTGGGCTCCATGGAAAGTTGATGTCAGTGTGCAGGGTCATGGGCTAAGTGGAGAGAGGCTGGGGTTAGAATCAGTAGGGCAGAGAGCTAAAGAAGGGGCTGGGCTGGCAGCCGGCCATGGGGAGGCTGACCTTGGTAGGGGTGGCTCAGGAAGGCTGGGACCAGAAACCTGAGTAGCATCAGGGGGTAGGGGAGTAGAGAAGTGGTCAACAGGAAGGTGACCTCCAGTGACAGCTGATGAGTCACAGGATAAAGAGGGTGGGCCAGGCCCAGGGACCCTAACCACAAGCTCCATGGGCTCACGGGCTTTGTTCCGATAGGCCCTGCGGATGGTGTCCACTGCTCGCTGGTGAGTCACTTGCTCCAGGCTCTCGCCATCCACAGCCACAAGCTCAAAGCCAGCCTAGGAGGGAGGTGGGAGAGTCAGCTTCCTCTTCAGGCCCCTTGCACCCTACTTGCCCTCTCACCTCCACCAGCCAGGGCACTCCTCCCCACTGCTGGGTGCAGGGGTGGACAATGGGACTTTGTGCCTAGAACTGCTGGGGGCAGGGTGGGGTGCACACAATAGCCCTTTGTCCCTTGGGGCTCTGGGTGGAGAACCAGCTGTCTTCAGTCCCTGGGAGTGCAGGAGTGCAAGGGGACCAATTTTCCCTAAATTTGGAGCTTGCTCATCCTACCGTCCTGACCCTGTGCCCCTGAGCTATCCATGCTTGGTCTAGGCCTTATTGGGTGGGAAGTAAGCGTGTGGATCCCACACTGTGCCCCATGGCACGCGGCTCTGGGCCCAGGGAACTGTATGGTGGCCTTTACTCACCTGCAGGGCCCCACTGAGAAAGGCTGCGCCCCCAGGGAAGATCTTCTCTATCTTCACCATGGGCTGCACCCTGGACTCGATGCCCCCTGAGATGCTGATGCCTGGGGAGGGAGATACCCCCCAAAATTTAGAGCTCTTGGAATATAGCATAGCACCCTGAATCTGCCCTAGGTCCAGGCCCCTTAAGCCATAACATCCCCAAACCAAGTCCCTGGGTACTCACCCAAGGACTGCTTCATCTTAGACAGCGTGACGGTCCTCAGCTCCCCTCTAGGAGTGTCCGGGGGTGCCTCACCAGCCTTGTCCTCAGGGCCTGTCCCTGTCCTGGCTCCCTGCTCCTCGGGAGGTCGGGGCAGAGGGGGCCTGGCCCGCCGAGGTTTGTGGTAGCATCCACTGGTGGCATGGAGGGCAGGGATGGGTGCCGGGGAAGGGGAGCGCCTGCGCCCAGGGGACTTGCCAGGACCCCGGCTGCGACTGCGACTGCGACTGCGGCTGCGGCTCTGGGCCAGGCCATGGCCATGGCCATGGCTTGGCCGAGGGTCCTCTTGGATAGGGGGTTCTGTCAGCAGCCAGTTGGGCCGTGGAGGTCGGGGAGCGACGGGCGGTGGTTGGGGAGGAGGGGTGCAGGCACTGTGGTGAAGCGCAAAGGCATCTACTGGCACGTCTTGGAGTGGGGGTATCCCCTCATGAGGGTGGCGGGGGATAGAGGCACCCTGAGAGACCTTGAGACTCCCCAGCCTGTCCCTCAGCTCCCTGTCGGCGGGGTCCTCCGAGAAGCCATTCACAGGCAGCAAGTAGAAGCCCCCACGGCTGTCTGGCAGGGGGTTGGGGTGTGGAGAGCCAAGGTCAGGCTGGCTTCTCCCCTCCTCCCAGCCTGGCCCAGCCCTTGCCTTTGGTTAAGGGGATGGGGGAACTTGTCTGGGCAGGGCCCTGCAGAAGAAGGTGGATGCTTGCTGACAGACCTGTTCTATTGTCCCTGTATCCAACAACTTCTACTGTAATTGGCCTCGTTCTATCTGGACAACACAGCGAGCACACCAGAGCCATCATTTCTCAGTCTACTGCCTAGAACAAGACTCAATTCAAAATGCAAGTGGGACTAAAGCTGCGAGCGAAGGGAGTGATGGGGCAAGTGCTGATCACTGGATCCAAGGGCTTGGGTGGGCGAGAGCTTGCCCTTGGGAATGTGCAGCAGACAGAGTGAGTCTGTTCTACTCCCCCGCTTGGCTGCCCAGTGTGTCCCTTGCTGGGCACTGAAACTCACCAGGCACAGGGGTAATGAGGTGACGCTTGGGCGGTGTGTCCTGCCTGGTCGGGCGTAAAGGAGGAGGCCGCGCTGGTTGGAGAGAGGGACAGGTCAGAGGTCAGGCTACTGGAGTCTCCAACCTCCCATTCCTTCTCCCAGGATCCCAGCCAAGCTGCTGACCTGCCCGGCCCTGGAGGGCCTCAAAGGCTTCCAGCTCCACGGGCATCACCATGCTGTCGAAGTGACCCAGGTCTGTAGGTGCCACCACACTCCTGAGGCAGGGTGAGAAGAGAGTGAGCAGGGGGTCAGTTCTGGAGGTCAGGGGGGGCGCTTCCACCCTGGGAAGGTGCTAGGGAACCCCACCTCCAGCCCTGCCTCACCTGATGTCCCGAAGCAGCAGCAGTTTCTCGGGCCTGTCCAGGATGGCCAGCAGGGGCCTCACCAGGTCCTCCACACCGCCCTCATGCACGTACTGTGGGAAGAGAGTGCCACAGGCCTCCTTGCAGCAGCAAGCCGAGGGGGTGTGCCAGGACCCTGCACACTTCAGACAAGGCTCTCCGCACCCTCCAACTGTCCACTCAACAGAAGTTGGTCACAGCCCTCAGTGGCAACAGCCACAAAGCACAGCCTGGGGACCCACAGGCTCTCGTCTTAGCCTTGCACATGTCATCTGTCCTTTGGCATCTATCCCTGCTTGCCAGATAAGGGAACCAGGGGCTGGGAAAGGAGCAGGACTTTGCTTACAGCCACACAGAGGATTGCCTGTAGGGACTGGGACCTGAGAAGGCCAGCTCACACCTGCTGTGGTGCCAGGAAAGAATGTGAGAGCAGAGGATGCTCCTCCCAGCCCTAACCAACCCGCAGGCACAAGGAAGGGCCTGAGGCCAAACACTAGGTGCTGGCCAGGGGTACATGCACACAGCCTGACTTGAGTCAGGCTCTACGCAGGGCCAGGCAAAGGGTCGCTTTGGCGTAAAGCCTGTCCTGTCAGAACCCTGGGAGTGGAAGCCCCTCTGCCTGGCACTGCAGGCCACTGCCGGATACACCCTGGTCACTCTGGGAGTCACCCTCCCTGGACAGCACACCTCCCTCTAGTGGCAAGATGGAGCCTGTGTTGAAACATCTGTGGGTGGGCCCGGTGCGATGGCGCAGTGGTTAAGGTCCTTGCCTTGCACGCCCGGGATCCCATATGGGCGCTGGTTCAAATCCTGGCAGCCCCACTTCCCATCCAGCTCCCTGCCTGTGGCCCAGGAAAGCAGTCGAGGACGGCCCAAAGCTTTGGGACCCTGCACCCGCGTGGGAGACCCGGAAGAGGCTCCTGGCTTCGGATTGGCATAGCATCGGCTGTTGCGCTCAATTGGGGAGTGAATCATCGGACGGAAGCTCTTCCTCTCTGTCTCTCCTCTCTGTATATCCGCCTTTCAAATAAAATAAATCTTAAAAAAAAAAGAGAAACATCCATGGGGCCTAGAGACAGAGCCGGGGCCTGGCAGGGAAAGCAAGCTGCTTGGAAACATCTGGGATCGAATAAAATACAAAAAGCAGTGCATGTGGCCCCCAAGTCACACACAATCTTACCAGAAGTCACACTCTAATCCCTCTCCTGACACACCCCTTTGGGCTAGGAAGAGACGGTCCTCCAAAAAGTTCACAGCAAAGAGGTGCTGTGAGAAAACAGCCTAAATTTCCAATTTCTTGCCTTGCAAATGCTCTTCCAGTCCCCTCTGCACAGAACCAGCTACCCAGCTGCATGCACACACCTGTATGGGACAGCATGGAGTGCCTGGCTCGGCACCAGGGCAGAGGCAGTGGACACAGAAATGAAGACCCTGTCTCTGGCAGCAATACCCCTAGGTACCTAGGGTAATGGGGGTGAGGGAGTCTCCAAGGAGGGCAGGAGGGTCAGAGCGGGCTTCATAGCCAACAGCCTTTACAGGGTAGACACAGGGAACAGTATGAAAGGTGGGAGCATGGTGCTCCACATGGGTAGTGTGGAATAATGGGTAGACAGAGGGTTTAATTCATCCATGGGGTCCAAAATCCTGGACCACTGGGACCAATGGAGCATTGGGCAGGTTGTTGACTTCCAAGGCATGCAGCTCACAGTCTGAATAAGCCTGCACACTGGCCAGGTGAGGTGAAGGGCCAAACCAGGAAGGACCTTAAACTGGAGGTCTGCAGTTTGCACTCTGCCTTGCCTAACAGAGGGAGTCCCGAGGTGGCTAGGGCAGTAGACAGTGATTGGACAGGTGCTGTGTGATCCCAGGTCTGGTGACTGCGGAGAAAGGACTCAAAGTGGGAGAGGATGGCAGCTAGGGGTTCAGGCTATACACTGGGTCATGCTCAGCCAAGCTTCGACTCCAGAGGGTTGATACCTGGGTGTGTGGATGGGACTTGGCTCACATGGAAAGGGTGCAGATTATCCGGCAGCTAATTTAAGGACTCTGCAAAGGGGATCCTGATCACCCAGGGTCCAGAGGATGGAGGGCTGAAGGGATAAGGAACCAGCTTGATAGTATAGTGGTTAAAACTCTCGCCTTGAAAGCGCCAGGATCCCATATGGGTGCCAGTTCTAATCCCAGCGGCTCCGTTTCCCATCCAGCTCCCTGTTTGTGGCCTAGGAAAGCAGTCGAGAATGAACCTAAAGCCTTGGATCAGCTCAGTTCCAGGTGTTGCGGTCACTTGGGGAGTGAACCATGGAACGAAAGATCTTCCTCTCTGTCTCCCTCCTCTCTGTATGTCTGCCTTTCCAATAAAAGTAAATACATCTTAGAAAGAAAGAAAGAAAGAAAGAAAGGAAGGAAGGAAGGAAGGAAGGAAGGAAGGAAGGAAGGAAGGAAGGAAGGAAAGAAAGAAAGAAAGAAAGAAAGAAAGAAAGAAAGAAAGAAAGAAAGAAAGAAAGAAAGAAAGAAAGAAAGAAAGAAAGAAAGAAAGGAAGAAAGAAAGAAAGAAAGGAAGAAAGAAAAGAAAAGAAAAGAAAAGAAAAGAAAAGAAAAGAAAAGAAAAGAAAAGAAAAGAAAAAAGAAAAAGAAACAGACACAGAGAGCCTCCTAGTGGCCAGATCCCAGAGTTGCAGGGTCACTGCAGGCAGGTCACAAGGCTCAGAGCGGCACAGGGTTAGGGACTAGGGCGTAAAAGGCTGTAGTTGCTCTCCAGCAGGGACCCTCATCTTCTACTCTGCTGTGACCCTTGGTACAGAGAAGCATCATGACCCCATCTAAGGCTGTCACATTGTGTGACAATGCAGGGTCACACACATACACCAGCCAGGCTGGGGCATACCCACACACAGATGCAAAGGCAGAGTGCCACAGACCAACACAAGCACAGCCACACCCTGAGCCAGCTGAGGGTGGGACATTTGTGTAAATGATTTCCTGAAACCCCTCTGCTTGCCCTTGCCCTGCATGTGACATCAAGGCATGCTCCTCTGGGGAGCTGGTCATGGGACCCCTGACTTCCCCCGAGATGGGGGGGTGGGGTTGAAGGAGGCAGTAGGAGGGGTGAGCCACACCTCGGCTACCTCCTTTGTGCTCCCCTACAAATCTCACCCATTCTGGGGTTACCTGGTTCTGTTCCAAGTGGCAGGGATTAGAGGATGGAGTGTAGGTATTGGGGGTTGAGGTGTATGGGGAAGTGGGCTGGCAGGCCAGGCCTGTTGGCTGACCAATCAGCAGAAGGAGGTATGGAGGCCAGGCCTGGGGCTTAGAGAAGCCAGTGGTAAATGACTGCAGGGCCCCTCTCCCACTCCTGCTCCTTCTCAGCTCAGGGAGGTCCGCCATTGACAGTGCACAGCTTCTGGGTTATTGACTCCTCCGGATCATACTTGATAGAGCCTTCATGATTTGTAGATCAGATTGTAGTTTGTATGTATATAACGGGGGCGTGGTTACTGCTCCTGTTACTGACTCCTGACCTCCCATCATGGAGCCTGGAGACCATCAGTGTCCTCAATCGGGAGGGGTTGGGGACCCAAGTGGCCACGTGCCAGGGGCTGGGGATGGGCGGGGGGGGGGGCCTTACCCGAGAGCAGTGGCGAGTGACAGCCAGCACTTCATCATCAGTCAGCAGCCTCCGGGCCAGGTCCTGAATGAGGGGCCGTCGGCTCTCCCAGGCCTGTACTAGCTCATCTCCATTGGGCAGCTGGCCAGAGGGGCTCCCGGACCTGGTAGAGAGTAGGGCGCGTCCCCTGTCCCGCTCTGTGGGGGCAGGAAAGAGACAGTGATATAGGAGTCTGAGGCTGTCTGGGGAGGGGCGGGAGGGGCTCCCAGGCCAGCCAGGACGCCGCCAGCCTGGTCTTCCCCATCCACCTGCCCACCTCTCACTGCCTAACACCCACCTCATACCAGTCAGTTCTTGACTGCAGCATCAGCCCATGGTCCCCATGAACCCTAAAAATGCAGTCTGTTCCCCACTCAAGTCTTAACAGAGGCTACTGAAACCTGTCTTGGAGAGTCCCCACAGAAGCCCCCCAAGTATACTCTGAAAGCTGACCACAACCTTCTCTCCACTTTCCTAACCTGAGGCCAATTCTTCAAGCTGTCCTCATACAACACATAACTGCCTGGTTTCCCCATGTTGCCCCCAACTGAGGCGAATTCAAAGCTACTGCACACACCCCAAGCATGCTCCCTTGGCAGCCAGGTGGTGTCCCACCAGGCCTACCAGAAATGACACACGAATTACCCCGCTTCAGCCTCCAGGTGACGAACTTCTGCACCGGGCCCACGCTGCCTGCTGGAGAAGGGAGGGTCTCAGCCCCAGGACCCCAGGTCCCCAGGCTGAAAGTCAGGGTGCAGTGAGCTTGGGGCTGGCTGAAAAGGAGGTCCATGTTCCAAGTGGGCAGGGTAGGGACAATGGGAGCCTGGCCCCAAGGGGCTGGAAAGGCAGGCTCCAGCCAGGGACTTCATTTCCAGCCAGTGGGAGTCAGAAGAGGCTGGAGTCAAGTCTAGACTCTGTCTATAGGAGTTCACTTGGAAACCAGAGGGAAGAGGTTCATGGGTGGAGTACAGGGGTCACCTACCTTCAGGGGACAGAGGGAGAAAGAAGAGCCAGAGAGGAAGGAGGACAGCTGGGAGGGAACAGGGCCCTGGGAGCTGTGGGAGAGAGCAGTTGAGGGAAGGGCTGGTGAGCCCCTACTTGAGGCACTTGTCTCTCTTCAGAAGGGACCTGCATCTGGACCCTCAGGGTCCAGCCAGGCTGGCAGAGGGCGCCTTCTCTCAGCCAATCGCCACATCGTAGGGACAGCCAACAGTCCCCAGACTACCCTGCTACCATGCCCACCGGGGTTTCCTCTAGGACAGCAGCCTCTGACCTCCCTAGTGGACCCAGGGAGTAGCTAAGGATTGTGCCCAGCCCCTAGACTCGCAGATGGCAGCACCAAGTCCACTGTTACATTTGTGTGAGATGAGTTCATGCCTGCTACACTAGAGAACCTAACTCACCCTCGTGCAGGTGGCCTCACAGATCCTAGGACAGGCCCTGACCTAAAACTGGCCTTGCTGGAGGACTCAGAACTCAGAGGCGCCTGTGGCACTTGGGCAAGGGGAGGTGAAGCCAAACGCCCTAACAAAGCATGCATTCCACCTGCCAGAGCACTGCCCCTACACCCTATTCTCCTGCCCAGCAGACTGAGGCTCACAAGCAGGAGTGAGGGTTAACTCAGGCAGACTGGAGTCAGTGCAGAGTGTCCACCCCAAGCTGGCCCATCCATTCTGTATGTACCTTTGTCCAGGTCCAGACGTGGTCGGGCCTTGGCTGGGCTGCTGCGGTCCAAAGTCCAGGCCTCCCTATGCCCATCCCCCGCCAGCCGCCCCTGCCGGCCGCCCTTGAAGAAGAGGTTCATCAGAGTCTTGGAGCGCTGCAGGGCACCCTTCTCCCCAGGGGCCCCTGGCTTCTCCTTCTTCCGCTGCTTCTTCTCCTCTGCAGACACGAGGGAGCACCCAGGAGGCTGGAAGGGTGGGCAAGAGAAGGCGGGGGCAAAGGGCAGGGGTGCAGACTGGGGCAGAGAGAAGGGAGAGCAGGAGGCAGACAGGATCCGCAGCAGTGCAGGCAGTGGGCCTCCATCCTCCCCCACCTCAGGGCTACAGTGCAGTGAGTGTGCACATGCATGTACATGAGTGTGTGTGTGTGTGTGTGTGTGTGTACAGGAGGCCTGGGGACTCCAGCCCCATCAGATGTGGTGCTGGGACTGGTTTACAATGGAGCCTAGGACAGGGTCTGAGTAGGCACTGGGGCTGGGGCTTAGGCTAGGTGAAGGCATTAGGCAAATAGAAATTGGGGGCCCAGGACAGGGTTTGAGGCTGGCTTTGGACCACAGGCTGTGGAACGAGCAACAGAGCAACAGTCACCCTACCACATACCCCATAAGGTCAGGTGGCTCTGGGAGCGTGTGATGGGGGGCCGGGGCCGGCTGAGGGCCAGCAGCAGAGCTGTCTTGGGGGATTCTGAGAGGGCAGAATCCAGGCGGCGGGCAGGCAGGGGTCCGTCGGAGCGGATGGCTGTGTCTCTGAGGATAACCGTGGGCCGCACGCTGCACCAGGTCTCCACGCAGCCCCCGGCCTCAGGTTCCGTCTGCATGGCGATGTCTGCTCGCCCCCAGCCAGGGCTAGGATCCTCCGGCCCCAGGCAGACGTCCATGTGGTCTGACGGTAGGGAGCCTGGACTATAGGGGGCGCTGGAGGCATAGGAGGAGACGCTGGAGCTGCTCTCCGAGGCTGCGGACAGCTGCTGCAACACACCGTTGCTCACTGCAGGGAGAGGGATGTGAGGGTATTCGGGGATCTGACCCATTGGCTCTGCGGCCCCGCTAGGCTTGCAGACTGCCCCTGGGCTGGGAGGGACGAGGGCTAAGTAGCTGCTTCACCACCTGCCCTGCTTGGCCTTGTTGCCAGACCATAGTGGCTCTAGGTCTCTCTACCCTCTGAAGAGTCCAGGTGCCAAGGGGGCCTGTAGCTTTTCAGTAGGGAGCCAGAAAAGGCTCTAAGCCGTGTGAAGGTCCTGCTCTTTCAGTCTTTGGGGACCCCAGTCCTAGCCCACTCCCTGCACCCTTGGGTGCATGCTCCACTCACGTCGGTCCAGCCAGCAGTACTCTGAAACCATCTCCTTATAGGCAGGATATCGGCCGGTCTCCTGGGAGGGCATGGAGAGCAGGTGAGAGGGAGGGTACAAATGTGGAGGGATGGGACAGGGGTATATTTTCAATCCCTGAAAGTCACCAGGCCCACTGCATTCCTGAATTCCCCAAGTGCCTCGGGACTCTGGCACCTGTGGGTTCCCTCTGCCTATATCCTCTTCACACAGCTCAGCATGTAGCTAGTTCCATCTTGTTCTTCAAGTGTTACCTCCTTAGGAAGGCCTGCCCTGCCCCCAGCTACAGGGACCTTCTGGAATGACTCCAGCCCATGTCTTACTCCCTGAACAGCAGTGGTTACACAGCATCTGCAAGGAGCACCCCAATCCATCAGCCCTGTCGCAGCCCTTCTAGCAGCCAACACGTGGCAGGTGCTCAGGATTCCTGCTGAACAGATGCAGGAGGGGTGGGGTGGAGTTTCTGAGACAATGTGAGAGGAAGGAGGGGGAGAAATGGGATATGGGACAGGTGGGAAATTGAGGTGCTGGGGTGTGTGGCAGATGAGGCACTGCACAGCGAAGCAGGTGCAGGTCTAGGGAGGAACTGCTGAGCAGGTCTGGGCTCCAGGGGAGGACCAGGCCTCACCTCCTCTGGCAGCCAGAGTAAGAAGGGCCTAACCCATAGGCAAGTGGGACAGTGACATGAGTAACGACTCCAGAGGCCTGTGAAATCTGATCGTGGTCACAACCCAGGCTTCTTGCCCTTTACCCGGTCCTGCCTGCCCCTCTGGCAGGACACCTGCTTCTCTGGCCTTGGGCACCACCCTAGCCACCGGGGAGCAGCAGCAGACTCAAGCCTAGGTGCTTGAGTTGCTCTGCCTCAGTTTCCTCTGCTGCCAAATAGGAGTGAGCACAAGGCTGGCTCTCCCTCCCACATAACTATAGAAAAATACTGGTTTGGCAGAAAGAGTCAGAACCAAGTGCCACCGTGGGCAAGCAAGCCCTTCTCCTGCTCTGGTGACTCCCAGCTTCCTTGGCCCTGCCCACCTTGATGGTCAGCATGATGTGCGTTTGGCCCTTCAGCACCTCCACAGCTTGGCTGTGGCTGATGTCATCGAATCTGACACCGTTGGCTGCCAGCACCTGGTCCCCCACCTTGATGCCGTTCTCCTCTGCCAGCCCGCCATGGTCCACTCTAGGGGCAGACAGGCATCCATCCATGGCATTGCTTGCCTGCCCGCTCTCTCCCCAGCCAGGCTCCCCGGCCCAAGCCCCAGCCCTCACTTGGACACGTAGATGCCCAGGCCAAACTCCTTGCCACCACGGATGTTGAAGCCCAGGCAGAAGTCGTCTGAGGTGGTGTACAGGTGTACAATGCGCCTCACGCCGTCCTCAGAGCTGCTGTCAGATGGCGTGGAACCACACTTCTCCACCACCAGGCGCCGGTTCACCACGTCCACCCTGGGGTGGCAGCAAGGAGCCCTCAGCCAGAAACCCTCTGGTCACACTCCCACCCCTACCTCCAGCCGTCCTGAGAACCCATGGGCATCGGGTGGGGGTAGGAAATGGACTGGAAATCTGCCTTTGGGGGATTCCCCTTCAGTGGCACCTCAGTTTCAGCAAATCTGGAGCCATCCTCATTACCCTGTTTCCAGTGCAGCTAGCTGACAGATACTTGGGCCAAGTTCTCATTCTTACAGCGCCCCCTGCAGGTCATGTGCTATCATTTGCCCAGGCTGCACAATAGTAGCAGTTGGCAAGAGGGGTCGGGGTAAGCCCACTGGGATCTGGGAGAGTTGTTTTGGGGTGGGCTGAGGAGGGTGCAGACTTCCTTATTTCCAGGTCAAGTCCCAGCCTCCCTCTGCTGCCATGGATTTTGCACGAGGCTGGTGCTGGGCTGGGCTGGGCTGAGGCCAGGACAGGCTTCTGTGGTACGGTAGGGAAGATGGTAGAACTGGCAGGCACTGCTCACCATGTAGTCTTCTCCTTGGAGAACTTGATGCCCGGCACGCGGCCCATGCGCCGCACCATCATGTGAAGACGGCTGCTGCCTGTCAGGACCTTCACTGCACTGCCCATGGTCGTACTCTCCAGGCTTAGCCCGTTCACCTCCGTGATCTTGTCCCCGACACACAGGCCAGCTCTCTCTGCTCCAGGGCAGTGGGGGAAGACGCAGCATGTGGGAGAAGGGGCCCCACGGCAAGGCCTCCCCCTGCAGACTTGTGCTCTGAGTGCTCCTGTTCAAGCAGGGGTCTGTCCCCAGCCCACCCTGCCCTGTCCCCCCACCCCCAGGGGACCAGGCTCCCAGAGCTGAGGATCCTCTCCCAGCTCCCTTAATCCCAGCAGCCTCTGTACCACACTTGGGTCATGTCCCAAGCCAGTGCCCACCTCCCTACCCAGCCCCCTCACCTGCACTGCTGCCCTCCTCCACTTTGCTGACAAAGATGCCCAGGCCATGCTCGGAGCCCCCACGCACACTGAATCCCAGCCTCCCTGCCGGGCTCTTCTCTACCCGGACAGCGTGGATAATGTCACTTTCATCACTGTTGGCTGTGGGAACAGGGACTTAGGCATGATCCCCATGCTTACTCTGGACATACAAAGTGATCCCCTCTCACTAGGTTCCCCCAACTTGGGACTTGCAAAAGGCTGAGTTGCTGGGCACAATCACACAGGTCCCTGGTTGGGGGGGCAGTCTATTTCAAAGGTCTTTGGGGGTTTCTCAGAGGACACAGACAGGCAGAGGGAAGGAGAGACCCAGAGGACAGGACAGAGTGGGCAAGCTCAGGGTGAAGGTTTCCAGTGAGAGAAAAGCCAGGGGTTGGCGGGAAGTGGAAGGTGGGGTGGAGTGGGTCCTGGGGAGATTTCTTTCTGGACAAGGCTTGCTTTAGAGGTGTGTGAGAGGGAGAATCTCACAGCCTGCCCACGAGCACACTTCCGTTTGATCTAGGAGAAATCAGGTTACAGGGCACAGCCGGGACAGCTGGGAAATTCCTCAGTGCAGTCCGTGGGCACGGCAAGTGCAGGCTGGATGCTGGGGCAACTGGGGTTTCCCAGTGACTGCAATTACCAAGGGCTCAGCCTCTGCCACAAAGCTCTGGCTCCCCTGCCCCGAGCCTGCTGTCTCCTCAGTCCCTTCTGGGCCTTTCTACGGTCCTCAGTACAGTGGATGAATGTCAGCTCTGAGTGGATCTGGGCAACCTGCTCACTGTGCCTCTACTTCCACTGCTGCCCACTCCACCCACTCTTGCCACAGTGGCCTTCTAGGTGGCACCCTCTGCCTGAACACAGTCACATCTGCCCCTTTGCCTGCTTAAACTTGTCCCAAGCCCTGAAAGGCTCCACAAGGCCTTCTCTGCCCACTTCTGTGCCCTCACTGCTGGCCACTTTCAGCTTTGTCACCAGCATCCCCACCATCCCCCATACAGCCCGGGCCCTGTCTGTGTCCCTTCTGCATCACTCTTGTCCAGACCTTTGGAGGGCCAGCCCTATTCCTCCCTCCCCTTTGGGATCAAATTCTCCTTCCTCAAAAGCCTCCAGGACTACCCCTCATCTTTTCCCAGTTAAGTAGTCTCCTAAGTGACATCTGCACGTAAAGATTTATTTTTATTATTTGTTTATTGGAAAGGCGGATATACAGAGAGGAGAGACAGAGAGGAAGATCTTCCATCTGATGATTCACTCCCTAAGTGAGCGCAACGGCAGATGCTATGCATCTGGGATTAGAACCGGCGCCCATACGGGATCCCGGGCATGCAAGGCAAGGACCTTAACCACTTGCGCCACCGCACCGGGCCCGGGAAGGTGTTCAAAATGCAAGTTCCAAATCATTCAACCACCTTAGCTATCTGTTGGCAGTGAAAAACTGGGCAAACGGAGACTCTATGAGGGACTAAGTCAATCAGCGGATTCTTCAACGACCTTATCGTGCTTGCAGTGGCGAGACTGGCAGCAATTCATAACTGTTGAACTATCAAAACCACTTGAGCAAGACTCTCGGAGCATGCCCCACATCAGGGACCTGGGATGTGAGAGACTGGGTGGGGCTTTTCCGTTAAAATCCCCCTTTGCCCCAGAAACAGGAAAAAAAATGTGGAAATAATAGTCTTACCCACTTTCCTGTAACCATTGAACCTTTTTACCCTAATTAGCTATGTAAACATTGTCAAAAATATAATAAAAAAATGGAAAAAAATAAAACGAAACAAAACAAAAAAACAAAATGCAAGTTCCTAGGTGTCACCACAGACTAACTGAATCAGGGGCTCTAGAGGTGAGCCCACCAATCTCAATCTCTCTCTCTCTTACTTTCTTCCTTTTCTTAGAGGCAGGGACGAAAGCTCCCATTCGCTGGTTGCCTCCCCAAATGCCTACAATAGCAGCCCCAAGTTAAGGCACAAACCGGAAGCTAAACACTCAATCCTGGCTTCCCATATGGGCAGCAGGAACCCAACCATTTCACAGCCATCATTGCTGCTTCCTGTGGTTCACATTAGCAGAAAGCCAGGAAGCCAGAGTAAGGAACAGAGCAGGGACTCGAACCCAGATACTCTGATGTGGGACACGAGCATCTTAGCCATTAGGTTAATCACTAGCAATAAGATTGCAGGCAAGTCTGCCTGGCATGATTCATGTAGTGGTTTAAGCAACCACCTGCCACATATCAGAGTGCTAGTAGGAGTCCCAGTTGCTCTATTTCTGATCCAGCTTCTTGCCAGTGTGCCTGGAAAGGCAACAAATAATGGCCCAAGCACCAAGATTCCCTGGCCACCCATGTGGGAGACCTGAGTGTAGTCCCTGACTCATGGTTCCATTCTGGTCCAGTTCTGGCTGTTGTAAGCATTTGGGAGTGGGGGGAATGAATCAGACAATGAAACATCTCTGTTTTCCTCTCTCTGATGCTCTGTTGGCAAATAAATCTTCGATAGAAGTTTGAGAGAAATTATTGTATCACACAAAACATTCACTTCAGAATTCTCACCATCCTTTGTTATTTGCTGACATGTCACCTGTCTCCTTTGAGGAGACTGTAAGCTCAGTCACAATAGGACTTTATAATTTTTTTCTGCCATGATAGTACAAGGTATTTGATAAGATTTTAATTAAATCAAAGACTAAATGGCTGGCTGGCTAGCTGGAGCAACTGGGGGAGGTAAGGAGAATGGCTGAGGTGGTGCAAAGAAAATGCATTTCACTGGGATAAGAGGAGTTGAAGGGGCTGCTGGGAGGTCCTGCGGGTGACCTGCAACAGAGCGTCCCTATTCAGCCTCTTTATCCCTTTAAACAACTTAAGGCAGGGAAGAGGGCAAGGTTTTGGACACAGCCCCCTGAGCCCCACCGCCCAGTGTAGGCAGAGCCATGCTGCCCACAGTCCTGGGCCTGCTAGCGGATGCTGCCACCTTGGCTGCATAGCACATGGGGACAAGGCAGGGGAGATCGCAGGGGTGGAGTTTCTGGAAGAGGTCATCGGAGGGACAGTCTGAGCAGCCCTGGCATCACAGGTGGACCCAGTGAATGCGTACAGAGAGGACTGGCACTGAGTAGGGAGATGCTGCAGTGCCTCCCCCACCCCATGCCTCCCACCAAAGAGAGCTTGGTGACCAGGTGCTGGGCCATTACAACATGCCTTACCCTGCCAATGCCAGGGGAGGGGCACAGAGCTATCCCTGATGGGTGGGAGTGGGGAGCAGGGTCTGCAATGGGCAGTCTGGGATGCAGCCAGGGAGCCATGCTGGCTATGAAAGAGGAGAGGAGCTGCAGATGCTCATCTGTGCCTGCCCACAGAAAGCCCACGTCTGGGTCCCCTCCCCCATCACCAAGGTCCTGTGTTGCCTGCTGCCTCCCACCTGTCACTGCAGCCAGGTCGTCTCCTGAGCCTCCACCTCACCTGGCTCCCTGCTTTCCAACTCCAGCCTTGGTGAGGGACGACACCCACTCCACCACCCACGACAATGGCAGTTTTTGCAAGGTGAGGATGGAGCCTCACTTCCCTCTGGGTGCCTGGCAGCCCTAAGCAAGGCCATTGCAGCATCGGTTCATCCTGAAGGGGCACCAGGCAAACCATATGAGCTTGAGTCTTCCCTCCTTCAGGGCTCCCTCTCGGCCTCCCTCCACCCCGCACCCTTCTGTTGTGCTCTCTTGTCTGACCGTGTGTAATCCACACACAGTCCCTTCCTCCTGTGCCTGAATCCTGGGCTGAGCTGACCCCTAAGTGGGCTGACCCTTCTCCACCCTACCCTACTCCAGACAAAGCAGACCCAAGTGGATACACATAGGAAGAGGCCCAGTCCAGTCTCCTGCTTTGCTCGCTTAAGAGCCAACCCATGACTTCTTCCATGCCCTTATCCGCTACATCTGGGCCTGCAACAATCTTGGAACTCAAAAAGACCAGTCTGGAAGAGGGCCTGCCCCACACCCACCTTCAATGGGGGAGTTGATGAGAATGACTCGGCCCATGGGCGACGAGGCTCGGATTCCACGAGAGGGGCCATTCAGCAGCCGCTGCTGTTTCTTCAGCAGGTATCGTGTTGCAGTGGAGCCTGAGTCGCTGCCCAGGTGGCCTCGGGAGGAGAGGGAGCTCAAAGAGCTGGAGCTGAGGTCTCCCAGGCCCGGCGGGTCAAAGCCCACGGTAAACCCGTGTGCCATGGCGTCCTGGGGCGGCCCACGCCCAGCATATCCAGCAGGAACCCGCTAGCCCTCCCTGGTGCTCCGGGTTGTATGAGCCTTCTGTGTGTCCCACGGAGACCCTCACTCCACAACCTCCAGAAGAGGGGCTTCAGGCCTGGATGGAGAGGGCGGCTGTGTGAGGAGGGATGCAAGTTTTGGCACTCCTGTCTTCCCTCTGGGTTGTGCATCCTCCCCTCTCACATTTTAGGTCCCCCAGTTTTCTCCCTTCAGGCCTGAACAGCGTGGTCCTTACACAAGCCGGCAGGTAGGAATTGCACTCTCATCCCTTATTCCTGCTCCCGACTGCTACCCGACTCACCCCACTCCTCAGGAAAGACTGAGGCTGCGGCTGGGATTTTCGGGGGGCCATCCAGTCCCTGCGGTGTAGATACACTAGGGACCAGGACAGTTCTCCGCAGCACCTGTGTGATGTATGCGGGTGGAGGATCAGCCTTCGGCCTTCCTGTGAGAATCAGGGACGCCAGGGTGGAGGACCCCTTGAGACTATTGAGCTGGGGAGCAGGGTCAGGGACCTCCCCCCATGGGCTGGCAGAGAGCCCACAACATCCCCCGCAAAACCTGGGGCAGCTCTGAGGCCCAGGACGCCTCACCTCACCTCGGGTTCGACCCTCCCGGACCCCCACCAGGCCGGCCTGGCCCTCTCACCTGCACGCATGTGGGCTGCTGTCCGCTCCAGCCGCCTGCGGGCGCCTCCACTGCAGCCACCGGGAATCCCGCCCACGCTGCGGGAACCGAGCAGCTCTGGGTTTCCATTGGCTGTGGGGACCGCCAGTCACTCCGTCGGTGCCTCCCTCGGACGCCCGCAGCAGACGCTGGGCAACTGGCCCCGGCGTGGCTGAGGTCTGCGGGTTCCGAGATTGCCTGCACCCCTCGCATCTTGGGAATTGGCGTTTCCGCCTGCCCCTTCTCGCTAGAACCGTGTCTTCTGCGGGTTAAGCTAGCTACCTACGCTTCGGAATTGCCACCTCTCCGTGACCACCCCTGAAGGCTAAATGGGGTATGTCACCTGGCTGAGCCGGGAACTTTTGGATCCCGGGAAAGAAACCCAGGGGGTCAAGCTGACCCAGGCCGTTGCTAAGGCTGCTGTTAAGTAAACAAGCCCGCGGTTCCCAAGTCCCTCCAGACACACCGCCAGAGGGCAGCCCCTCGACGCCGCCCGTGGACGCCCAGTGTTCAGACAACTCCCCTCCTCCCTCCTATGGCACCTGGACCGCTAGCTGCAGGGCGGGGGCCTCCTAGGATCCACCAGGGGGCTGCAGCTCCTAGGGACGGCATCCGCAACACCCCATTCCCCCTGCCTGGCTGGGGACGGGGACTGAACTGATCCCCGCATCGCGGTTGACTCTGGGAAACCGCGCAGGACCTGCCCCGTTGGTCCCAATGACACCCACAGTTCCCAGGCTCTGCCAATCCCCAGGCCCGCGAGCAGACGCGCGCTGGACGCCCCTGCCCCTCCCCGCAGCGTCACGCGTGACGTCCCGCGTGTTGGCTGGGAGGGCGGCGGCGACGCGCGGAGAGGAAGACAGGTCTGAGAGCTGCGGAAGCCGGGAGTCCTGCAGCGCCTGAGTGTTCGTGGTGCCTAGCGGGTTCAGGAGCTAAGTGCAGGTGAGGGCTGCAGGTTGCGGGTGGGAGACAGAGGCTGCCCCATGAGGTCCAGTGTCCCTCTCTTTAGAGGCCCGGGAGGTGCGGGGGAGGTGGGACCGGGGGAGGGTTGTGGGAGTGGGGCTGTGAGTGCTCTCGGACGGCGATGGGGTGGGGAGGGCAGAGGGAGAAGCTAAAGGTCTTTTGGAGCTGGTGTGCACGGGAAGTGTCCACCCTGGTGTGTCTGAGTGGGGCGTGCATGATGGTACATGGGTATGTGAGTGTGAGTGTGAGAGAGGGGAGGGCGTGTCCTCCTGGGAGGGAGGAAGTGGGGTTGGAGAGGATTAGTCATTCTGCAGGATTTTACCCAGCACAGCCAGATGGCTGCTGTGGGCTTTGCTGTCTGTGCTGCGTGGAGGGGCATTCGCTGAATGGGGCTCTGATCTGAAGACCAGGAGCTGTTAGAGAGAGGATGGGAGCTTGTGCCAGCCCTGCCCAGCAATGAGAGCTTGGGTGCATGGTCGTGGGCGGTGTGGAGTGCTGGGGAAGATGGGTCTGGAAAGGGGATTTGTGCATGCCCCTGGGCAGTACATGGCTGTGGGCAGGAGTTCAGGGTTATAGATCTAGAGCAGATAACCCCTGGGGTGGCCCGTGAGCCCATGCTGTCTTCCAATCACGAGTGCGTACTGGAAGGTGGCGTGTCTTTTACCATCTTCTCAAACTGCCTTAGGCATCTGTATCTAGGTCTCAGGGCAGCTGGGGGTCTAGAGCTGACAAAAACCTGGGCTTGCAATGCCTGTTCCAATGCTGCGTATTTTGTGCAGCCAGAGAACACAAGTGGGTACACATGATTAGCTGCTGCTTATGCATCAACCACATCCTTGTAAATCCCTGCTTACCAACATCAGGAAAAGCTCGTGGAAATCTGAGTCCCTGGTGCAGCTCTTCCCCTCCCCCTCTCCGAAGGCTGCAGGTGCCTGGGCCAAGACTTTGCTTAGGACACGACTCCTCTTCCACCCTTGCTTACCTTCCCAGAGTTACCTTGTGCTCTTGAAGGTCCCAATGACCAGTAGGGAACCAGGTCAGGGTCACCAAAGTCTCCCCAGACAGAGTTTTCAGACCCCTTCCTGGGAGCCTTCTGACCATGTCCTTGCCCTGCAGAAAATGGGTGAACTACCCTTAGATATCAATATCCAAGAGCCTCGCTGGGACCAAAGCACGTTCCTGGGCAGAGCCCGGCATTTCTTCACTGTTACTGATCCTCGGAACCTCCTACTGTCCGGGGCACAGCTGGAAGCTTCCCGGAACATCGTACAGAACTACAGGTGACTCCTCCAGTCTTGCACCCCAGGGGTTCCACCCCCTCCCCACTGATAGGGTACCTGCCTCCCCAAGCTTGAAAGTCAGCTGGGCCTACTCCTCCACCTCCTAAGCAGCCCTGTGTGCTGGCATCACAGACCCTGTGGGTGGCACAGAGCTTGACCCACTAGGATGAGAGGGTACTTGGCTGAAGCAGGTGGGAGACTGCTCTGTGTTTCACAAACCCTTCCTTAGGACCTTCCCCGCTGTTGTACCACCCTCAGCAGGGGTGGTGGGGTTCAGGGAGAGAGCCAAAGAGGCCGGAGGACATCCCTCTGTCTTCAGGAGGAAAAGATCTTGCAGCACCCCCTGCTATTTGGGACTCACTGAGAACCACTATTTCTTAAGATTTGGCATTTGACCAATAGAAGGGTAACCTTTGTGTGTGCCCAGAAGGAGAATAGAAAGGGGAAACTTTGGCTCTCCCCCAAAGACAAAGAGTTCCTTGGTGCCCGAGGTGGGGGCTACAGTTCCTTGCCAACTCCTGCAGGGCTGGCGTGCTCACTCCGGGGCTCACCGAAGACCAGCTGTGGAGGGCCAAATATGTGTATGACTCTGCTTTCCACCCAGACACGGGAGAGAAGGTGGTCTTGATTGGTCGCATGTCGGCCCAGGTGCCCATGAACATGACCATCACTGGCTGCATGCTCACCTTCTATAGGTAGGTCTTAGCCCATGCCTCTCCCTGAGTGTGCTAAGACTTGGTAAGTAGGTGCTCCTCTCTGGAACTCTCTGGACAGAAGATGGTTGGAGACAATCTCTCCAGGCCTGGGTATAGTGGGTGTGTTTCTGTGACTGGGTATGTGGGGGGCGCATGCAAGGCTAAGGGCTCTTGCTGGAGGGTTTCATTGCAGACTGCAAGATGAGGGATAGTGTAAAAGCGTGGAAGTAAATATCTTTGTTCTTCCAGGAAGACGCCAACTGTGGTATTCTGGCAGTGGGTCAATCAGTCCTTCAATGCCATTGTCAACTACTCCAACCGCAGTGGTGATGCTCCCATCACTATGGGGTAAGAACACACCCCCGGGGATGATTGCAAGCCCCTTGGAATGCTCCTCTGTCTCCTGGGGCTCTGTTCCTCTCTTTACTTCCCTGGGGGTCCAGCAGTCAGATGCGCTTAGCTTGACCCCAGCCACCTTCTCTAGCCTCACCTGCCTGCCAGCCACGGGTTCCTCCAGGACATGCTTTGGGAGCTTCCTAATGAGCCTAAGCTGGAGCTAGGGCAAAGCTTTCTCTGCAAGGAGGCTACCAAGGTCACACATGGAGGATCTGACTTGTCCTTGAAGGAGAGAGTCGTAGACCTGTCTCTTCACTGCTCCCTCGTGACCTTGGTCTTTCTATCCGCAGGCAGCTGGGAACAGCCTATGTGAGCGCTACCACTGGGGCAGTAGCCACAGCTCTGGGACTCAAGTCCCTCACAAAGGTAAAGGTGCCCTGCCTCGCTGGGCCCCCATTCATGTTATATACCCTGCCTTCCCGTCACTGCTTAGTCCTGACCTAGTCCTAACCACACAGCTCTCCCCAGAGGCCCTCACCAGCTCAGGGCCACTGAATGATGGATATCTTTTCTCCCCGACCAGCACCTGCCTGCTTTGGTGGGCAGATTCGTGCCCTTTGCGGCTGTGGCAGCCGCCAACTGCATCAACATCCCCCTGATGCGGCAGAGGTGAGTGGCCCCCAGCTTATGTCTGGGGCACACTGTCCAGCCATACACTCACCAGTTCTGTGTGAGGGCACTCCTCTCCCTCCCCAGACACGAGCTGCTATCTCAGCTCAAGTCTGGAATCCTCAATCCTCGGTCAGACAGGCAAACCAGTCTGGGAAGTATGGTGGCCTGGGACCCTCCCACAATCTGACCCCTGTCCCCTCCCCTGTTCCTTCCTAGGGAGCTGCAGGTGGGCATCCCGGTAACTGATGAGGCAGGGCAGAGGCTTGGGCACTCAGTGACTGCAGCCAAGCAGGGCATCTTCCAAGTGGTGGTGTCGAGAATTTGCATGGCCATCCCTGCCATGGGTGAGGCAGGGGGGAAGCACAGTAGGCTCGGGTGTGGAGGGAGGCTTTGGGTAAGACTGTAAGGAGGGTAGGGGGAGCTGTGAAGGGGTCTCCTTCTTTAGGGTTCTCCACTTTCATTCTACTAACAGCCTCCTTCCCTGTCTTCTCTCCCCTCAGCCATCCCCCCTGTGATTATGAACACTCTGGAAAAGAAAGACTTCCTGAAGGTAGGCGACCTTCGCTCACCATGCCCGGGAGGGGAGGGGCGCAGGCTGCAGCCCTCTCTCCAATCTGGCTTAAATCCAAGACCAGACACCCTTCTTCCTGCCCTAGTCTGCCTTTATCCATTCAAGAAGAATGAATTTGACTGGGAGATGAAGGAGCATAGCAGATCAGAAGACAAGGGAAAAAAAGAAATTGATGTCACTCTGGGGGTCTCTGTCACATGGGTGTGGACTGTGATGGTCACACTTGACACCATCGTCTAGTCATCAGCACCCTCACTATGCACAAATACACACACATACACAGAAATGTAAGGCACAGGTAATTGACAGAACCATTTATTCATATTCAGTGAGCAACCAACTATGTACAAGGCATATTTTAGCATGGGGTGGATGGAAAGGGGAGGGCTGGGCAGAGTACAGAGAAGAGCATTTCAAGGAACAGAGAAAGATCATGCGAAGAGCCTGAAGCAGGAACATCTGAGGAACCCAGTGGGTGGTCTTTAGTACGTGGAGATCAGCAAGCTGAGCAGATGCATCTGGGAAGGGACTGAGTCATGCCACTGGGATGAGGGCAGGGAGTGGGGGCTCAGACAGGAGGCTTGGACAAGCATGCAGTGCCCAGAGGAGTTGAGGGAAGAGAAGCCAGCAGGTGCCCTGGAACCAACCCTGAGAGGTGACAATGAGTGGTGGGATGGCAAGGATGGTGTTAACACACAGGTCTGGCTGGGGTGGGTGGTGTCATGTGGAAGTCCCAGCCCTTTGTTGAGATTGGGAGATAGAAAAAGCATATACCCGAAGACCCCCAGGCAGGCCCTGATGAATGGAGGCACTGTGGATGGAACGGGGGTCAGGAGGTAAGACCACCAGCCATTCCATTGTCTCTTTGTCTTCCCCACAGCGTCGGCCCTGGCTGGGGGCGCCTCTGCAGGTGGGATTGGTGGGCTTCTGGTAAGTGTCAGAGTTAGCTGGGGTTTGTGGAGGCATCACTTCCACAGTGGTCTTGAAGATCTATCTTCCTTCCTTCCTGTCTTTCTTCTCTTCTCTTCTCTTCTCTTCTCTTCTCTTCTCTTCTCTTCTCTTCTCTTCTCTTCCTTCCTTTCTTCCTTTCTATTTATTTTTGGACCCAGCACAGTAGTCTAGTGCCTACAGTCCTCACCTTGCATGCACCAGGATTCCTATAGCTGCTGATTCAAATCCTGGTGGCACCGCTTCCCATCCAGCTCCCTGCTTGTGGCCTGGAGAAACAGTCAAGGACAGCCCAAAGCTTTAGGACCCTGCACCTGTGTGAGGGACCAGGAAGAGGCTGGCTTTCAGCTTCGGAATGGCTCATCTCTGGCCGTTACAGCCACTTGGGGAGTGAATCAGCGCAAGGAAAATATTCCTTTCTATCTTTCCTCTTTTTTTTTTTTAAAGAGATTTATTTATTTTTATCTTGAAGGCAATTTTTTTCTTATTTTATATCATTTTATGACACAGTTTCATAGGCTCTGGAATTTCCCCAGCCCCTCCCCAAGCCCTTCCCCCATATTGAATTCCTCCATATTGTTACAGTAGTGCAGATCATATCCAGCCATGACTGGGAAGGCAAATTTACAGAGAGGAAGAGAGACAAAGAGAAGAATCTTCCATCTGCTAGTTCACTTCTCAAATGGTTGTAATGGCTAGAGGTGAGCCAATCCAAAGCCAGGAGGCAGGAGCTTCTTCCAGGTCTGCCACGTGGGTTCAGGGTCCTAAGGCTCTGGGCCATCCTCGATTGCTTTCGCAGGTCACAAGCAGGGAGCTAGATGGGAGGTGGAGCAGCGGGGATACAAACCAATGCCCATGCGAGATCCTGGCATTTGCAAGGGGAAGGTTAACTAATTAAGCTATTGCGCCTGGCCCAAAGATGTTTCTATTCAGCATACATTCCTGCACCTTGCTTGTTTGTGTCTGGGTCACTGGACAGTCTTGCTGTATGTCTAAAGGAGTAGGCCCCACAGTGAAGGTGAAGAGTTTAACTGAGGGGCTTCCTCAATTTCTGGTGTCACTGGGGACACCAGAGCTATTCTATGCATTTCATTCCTGGTCCTTCTCTGGGCTGTGGATGCCTGCACTGCACGGTCTGCCCTTGGCTGGAGCCTAAAGTCAGGGTTGGTCTTCCTGTTCCTCAAAGATCCTTTGGTTTTCATCAGTTTCCACCCCCAGGGAGTGGTGGGTTTGGGGGAGGCAGCAGCGTTGGATTAAGGTGTCCCCAACCTTCCCAATGTGTTTCCTTTCCAGCCTGGTCTTCGCCACACCCCTGTGCTGTGCCCTGTTTCCCCAGAGGAGGTAAGTGCTGCCCCTGGCCTTGGCTGGGGGCTCTGGACAGGTTTCTGCATCTCTAGCCCCTTCCACCTGATTCTGGGGGTGGGAGAATGCTCTCCGGCAGTGGGAGAGGGAAGGAGAGGTGGCCTTGGACCCGAGGACGTCAGCCCACCTGTGCTATTCTGTTGCAGCTCCATACAAGTCAGCAGGCTGGAGCCGGAGCTGAGAGCTCAGATCAGCGAGCAAGCGCCCAGCATCCAAGTGGTTTACTACAACAAGGGGCTCTGAGGGCAGGGATGGGGTCAGCCTGCCTCATTCCTCACTGCCCCAGGCTACTGCTTTCCCAGCACCTTGCTATCCCTGCCACTTGCCTAGCTGTCTAGTACAGGATGGGAGGCCGGGGTGGGTGGGTTGGAGGAGCAGCCAGACACCAGCAACCCATTAGGCTGGGGGAGGTGCTCACAAAAACCCCTTTGTCTCCTGTCTGGTTTCAGAGTGCCAGGCCCCATAGCTCCTCCTCCCCGTGCTTGTATATCCATGTCTACATCCAAGATAGTCTATGTGCTTGAGCACTTGGTCCTGGAAGCCAGCAGTAGGCATCCTCTCTGGGGACCGAGGGCACCAAGAGACCAAAGTTGAATCCTTCAAGTTTCTGAGACTTGGCTCCCAAAGCCGACTCTGGGAATGGGCTGGCATAGGAAGCCACATTGGGGTGAGGGAGGCAGGGGCACTCCCACACCTGGGGACAGCTCTGCATGCCTCTTCTGTACTAGAGCAAAGCAGTGCCAGCAGCCTCTGCTGTCCTTGCTGTGTGGCATCCTTAAGTGCCACCCGACAAGTCCTTGATCTGCATTGACTCCATGACCAGCAAGTTGGAATCCTATAATTCCAACTCTTTCTCCAACCCTCCAGGAAAAAGTATTTCCCTTGAAGAGCTGCCACCACACCCTCTCACAGAGGGACACAGCTGTGGGCATGGTGCTCAAGCCCTTGCCTTAGCTCCTTCTTTGTTGAGGTTTGGTCCTGTTCCTACCTCCACCTGCACCCCAGGAAAAGAAGGGTCCAGGCATCACAGGATGGTCCAAGTGGAAGCCAGGCTTGGGGAGTAGTGACTGGGGGTAAGTTTAGAGTTAATTCTGGACTCCAACTCCTATGACCACTGGCTAAAGTCAGGAGTTGGGGAGAGGGCAACGGCGGGCCCTCCAGGATCCTCTGGAGCACTTCCCAGGCAACCCCCACCTGGGACGACAGCTGTGATGTCACTGGTTCTCAATAAACTAAATACCTGCCTTCATCTCCTTAGTGCTGGAAGCCCTTCCTGCGCTGGCCAGGTCACCCGCACCTATCTCATCTTCTGTAGGAAGTCTCATTTCCCAGAAGGGGGCGCTCTGCTATTAGAGAAAGCAGTCTCATTCCCTGACTCCTGGCAGCACACTGACTACTGGAATGGAGGGGCTTCCATGGCACCTGGGATGGCACAGCCGCAGTACCCTCGTATCCTTGGCTGGGACACGAGCACCTAGTTACCCACCAGTGCAGTCTCCTTGGAGTGGGGAGTGGTTTGGGGAGGAGGCTGATCCAGGTCTCTGGAGAGAAGGGGGTGTGGCATGTGTGTGTGTGTGTGCGTGTGTGTGTGTGTGTGTGTGTGTGTGTGCTGAGAACTGCCCAGCTCCATCCAGGTCACCAGCATGATCTTCATGCCCTTTCAAGTCACCACTGGAACAGGCTCGGACCACTTGTCAGTAATTTGCTTTCAAGAAAATTTCCTTTTCTTAGCAAAAAGTCTGCCTTTCATAAAATTGTATTTGTTTATTTTCATATTTGAAAGGTAGGGTGGGAGGAGAATGAGAAGGGCTGGTGTTGAGGTATAGTGAGTCAAGCCGCCACTGCAATGCCAACATCCCATATTAGGGCACTTTTTAAAGTTTCCGGTGCTCCATTTTTAAAAAATTCCTTTATTTTTATTGGAAAATCAGATATACAGAGAGGAGGAGAGACAGAGAGGAAGATCTTCTGTCCACTGGTTTACTCCCCAAGTGGCCACAATGACCAGAACTGAGCTGACTGAAAGCCAGGAGCTTCTTCCGAGTCTTCCATGAGGGTGCAGGGTCCCAAGGACTGGGCCGTCCTCTACTGCTTTCCTAGGCCACAAGCAGAGAGCTGGATGGGAAGCAGGGCTGCTGGGACACGAACTGGTGCCCGTATGGGATCCCAGTATATGTAAGGTGAGGATTTAGCCACTAGGTTACGGTACTGGGCCCTGGTGCTCCATTTTTGATCCAGCTCCCTACAAATGTGTTTGGGAAGGCAGCAGGGGATAGTTCACATGCCTAAGCTGCTGCCACCCACTTGGGAGACCCAGATGGCACTCCAGGGTCCTGGTTTTGGTCTGGCCCAACTCTGGCCATGGCAGCTATTTGGGGAGTAAAGATCTCTGTCTCTTTCTTTCTGTAATTCTGTCATTCAAACAAACAAATCTTTTTTTTCTTTTTTAAGGAGAAGAGGAATCTTCTATTCATTGGTTCATTCCTCACATACGGTAGCCATTCCTAGGTCAAGCTGAAGCCAGTAGCCTAACCCTCAGGCCTCCCACATAGGTTACAGGGACCCAAGTACAGAAGCCATCATCTGCTGCCTTCCAGGGTGCCTACATGGGAAGCTGGATCGGAGCAGGGGAGCTGGGACTCAAACCAGGCATTGGTTTAATTGAAGTGGCTATCCCAGATAGCATTTTCACCACTGTGCCAATGACCCATTCCCATTTTATACTTTTTCCCATGATGCCATGGCCCTGCCTGCTCCATCCTTCCCTATTTAATTTCTGGGGGAAAAAAATAATAAAAGGAAGCCAGAAGTACAGCTGGTAAGAGCTACTGTGAAGCACATTATAGTTACCTCTAACCCCCTAAATCTTAGCTTTTGTAGATTTGTAGATTCAAGAGTATAATGACGAATGGGGTTTTAATGAATAAACTGTTCTATCCTCTGCAGAGAAGAGTCCTTCATTTGCTTTTTCTCAGCCCAAAGCTGTCACTCTAGGGTTGAAGGGGCCATGGCGGCCTGCAGCTCACTCACTGTCCTTGGGGTCAGTGGAAGGTCACTTAAGCCGGTGGCGGGGCTGATGTCAGCTGTTGTTTGCCAAATCCCACTGTGCTGAGCAGGGCTCAGTGAAGCCAGTACCGGAAGTCTATTGTGTCAGTCTTTAGAACTGGGAGGCGTCACACATGATGCTCTTTCTTAGTGAAGCCCCGGATTTGAGACGGAAAGAAAGTTGCCTACAGCTACACCATGAGGAGGCGGTACAGCCAGGATCGAAGTTGAGGTCTGTGTGTCTTCAAGGGCGCCATGCTAGACTTCCCAGCTGCCAGCTCTGAGGTCATTGTTCTGGTCCCTTGGACATTCCAGGACATCATCTTTCTGAACAGCTTTTTTTTTTTTAAACACCCTATAAAACTAGCAGGTCAACAGTGCACAGAAACCTTTTACTGATGCCACTATGGGATTTCCAACCTTGAGAGTGTCAGGGTTCGAGTAGAAGCAAAGATCCTCAGTGTAGATTACATGCAGGACAGCCCTTGGAGATGCAGTTTCAACTCCACCACAGCCTACCAATCAGGCCAGCATCTCCCACTGTGTCCCCCTGGAGTCCTGTGGTTACACCATCCTAGGCACGGGCGTTTAGGGCCAATTTCTGTTCCAGCCCTGTGAGGTTAGCCCAATCAGGCTGCAGCTTGGGCTAGCCAGGTCCCGCCCACAGCGAAGCCCAATTTCCTCCCACTCAGGCCTGGCAGTTTCAAGCCCCGCCCCCGGATTCTAGCTGTCATCTAAGTAAGCCACGCCCACTAGACTCGGCCAACCTGGAGCAGAGTCCCGCCCCGGCTTCAGCCTTGTCCGTCAAAGCTAGGCCAGGCCCCACCCTCTTCCTGTTTCCGAGGCAACGGCTTTAGCGACTGCAGGTGGCCTTCCCTTTCCGAGTCTGGATCCCGCGTCTGGGCTCTGCTTCCTTGCTGCTCCCTGTTTCGGAATAATAAACGCGCCAAACCAACCTCCCCTTCTGTACAGTTCCTAAATCGACGAGCTTCCCTATGCCCGCCCTTGGACTTCCTGCCCGGAAATGCGCGAGGTTTGGAGGATTCACGCGAGGCCTGATCCCAAGCACCGGCTAGGGGGATAGGCCATTACTCCTCGTCCCACCCAGCCGTACAGGAAGCGTTTGCTGAACCCTGTCAGCTTAGGCTCTGCGCCTGGCCGAGGGAACCCAGAGCACCTTCCTGCCTGCGGGTGTACACAGTTCCTACCCCACAGATGTCAGGTGCCTCCTCCTCTCCCCGACCTCCTCCACACGCTGCAGCCATCCTGTCCTGAGGCGGGGACCACCCTTGGCCATACACGGGGGTGGAATCTGACCCAGAAGGAGAATCCCCAGAACAGAGCTTCTGGGATTCTCCCTTCTCTCTTCCTTGACCTACTTCTCCCTCACTGAGACCCAGCTCCACTCCCAGCCCAGGCTGCCGGAGAGCCACTGGCAGCCCCAGCTGCAGGTTGCAATCCTCTGTAGCATTCTCCTTTCCATCTTCTCAGACCCAGGAGCTTGTGCAGCTTTGCTGAGGCCTGGAATGTGTGTGTGGGTGGACTCCGCAGAGCTTAGACTGGACTTAACTGCATGCTACCACAGCACATCAGTTAGAAAACACACTTAACAGGCTCCTCTGAGAAAGTGCTTGCTTGCTTTTGGTGCAAGGCTTGGCTATGTTCCTCTCTAAATTGACCAGCTAAGCTGCTGGGCTATTTTCCTTCTGGTTAAAGACCTTCTGCCCTCTCACCAGCAAATCCTCACTGTACGGATGCATTTTTCCCCCAGAAGGAGCACTTCTGGTTTGGACTGTAATTGAAGTTGGAAAGTGTTCAGAATCTGAAAGCAATGATTTGTGGCCAGTGCACACTTTGCACGACCTTTTTCAAGCCCCCTTGTATAAGCCCAAAGCACCCGAAAGCGTGCCTCATTCACGGTAGATCCTCAGTTCTTGCTTGCTGGAATCCCAGAGTGCCCTGACTCTATCCCTGCACTGATCCTAGGTAGGCTCACAGTGGTTCTATCTGCTTGACACCTCAATGAACCTGAAAACTGTGAGGTGGTCCCAGCCCAAAGAGCAGCTGGAGCTTCAGTGATGTGGGGAAACACGTTCCTTGGGCGTGGCAGACACCTACGGGTGGAAACATTGCCCGCTCCCGGGAGGCTTGGCCAACTCCTCTGGGCTGTGTGATTTGGAAAGTCCCCTGGACAAAATGAAGCTCACCCCTGGATAGGAAACCCAGCAAGAGGACAAGTTCAGCCCTGCCCCTTGCCCCTCTCCAGGAGTACCAAGCACAGGGGAGGAGGTGGAGGAGAGAGCACCTCATGTGATCAAAGCCACCTCTCCCAGGCCACTTCTCTGTGCCTACCAATGCCACTCCTTTTGGCAGTTCCTCCAGGCATAACCCACCTTCCACGTTGGCAGCTTCTTGGGGCTGGCACCAAGTTGCCATCACTTTAGGCAATCTAGAAGGAGACAGCTTTCACTTCTTTAAGAGTTATTTTATTTTTATTGGAAAGGCAGATATATACAGAGAGGAGGAGAGACAGAGAGGAAGATCTTCTGTCTACTGATTCACTCCCCAAGTGGCTGCAATGGCCAGAGCTGAGCCGGTCCGAAGCTGGGAACCAGGAGCCTCTTCTAGATCTACTGCACAGGTGCAGGACCCCAAGGCTTTGGGCCGCCCACAACTGCTTTTCCAGTCCATGGGCAGGGAGCTGGATGGGAAGCAGGGTTGCCAGAATTAGAACCGGCGCCCATATAGGATCCCAGCACATGCAAGGCGAGGACTTTGGACAATAGGATACCACTCCAGGCCCACTTATTTTTGTTTTTAAAGATGTGTTTTTACTTGAAAGAGTTATGCAGAGAGATGGAGAGAGAGATCTTCCATCCATTGGTTCAATCCCC